GGGGGGGGGTGGGGGGGGACTGAACACTATCCAGCTGTGTCCCGGGGGATTACAGACCAATAGAAAATGTCTGCAATAAATCAAAAACGTAAGTGATGTTATAATGATTGGTTGCAGGAAGGGTTAAAGTGTCTCTGGAGGGCAAGAGGAATTAAATGGGCGTGTGTGAGAGACAGTTATTTTAGTGGGTGTGTGTGTGTGTACTTGCATCACAATAGAAGAAAACAACAATCACACCGATTTAAATAAGACAACATCCACTGATACACTGTTCTTGGAGTAACTGTGTGGATCCTAGTATTCAGACAGCTGAGAGGTCTCTGGTTCACTAAAAAAAATAAATCTTTGTCAAGTAAATGAGCAAGGTCACATTCAACTAAAGTGAATCGAAGCCTCTTATCTGACCACAGTCTATTGTGTTGAACTGCAACGACATACGAGCCGCCGCATACCTGTAATTCTTCCAGGGTTTAAAGTAATGAAGGAGTCCATGGGGCGGAACAGAAACCTGCCCATTATCTTGATCCCACGGACAGCTAATGAGTCAGTGCTGCCAAAACAGCTCTGATACAACAAGTCATATTAAGTAGAGGTGCTTAGATGAGTAAAAAGAGCTGGATCAACGCCAGACACAATGTAAACAAACCAAAACAGTCAATGTTGTCTTGTAGTCCTTGATAAAGTTTAGCTCACTTACCTGATGTTACTTCATGGAGATGTTTACAGCAGTTGAAGCTGGGTGCCATGCCGTTCTCGTGTAGCATTTGTCACAAACGAGAAGCGAAACCCTTCGAAACAGAACAGCTGACTGTGGCTAGTTTGTCAACAAAACTCTAAGCTAAACCAAGAGCTAACAAACATTAGCCTGATCCACCAAACACACAACATAAAAACAGGAAGTTTTTCGTCGCCAGCGGTAAAAGAAGTCCCCAATTCCCCAAAAGGTTGAATGCTCAAAGTGATGTCGAAGTCTGCTTCTGTCGTCCTTGTTACCACAAAAGAGCAAAGTACGATGTTTGTTGCACCGCCCGGGATAGTATTTCAAGCCGATTGTTGCTGTTTGACAGCTCCGTCGTCTCTCTTCGCTCTTCACCCGAGTGACTCCCACCTGACCACGCCCACATTTGATTGGCAGGGTAAATCAACCAATCAATGGCCAGGCGTCCACGTGCATGTGTGCGCGCGTGTAAAAACACTCAAACACACAAGTAACGGAATAAAAAATAACAAAATTCAGTACGTGTCTAAAGCAATGCAAAAATTAAAATAAAACATTAAATTAAAAAATAAATAAAATCTTTGCACTACCGTTTAGTTAGTTAATTTAATATTATTATATTTCATTGTATATATTGTGCATTTTTATGGTCAATATTTTTATTTTTACTACTTTGATTGCTTACCTGTATCATAATGCTGCTGTAGCGAACAAATGTCCCCTTGCGGGATTAAAGTATCTATCTATCTCTAAAAAAAAAAATTTTATTCCAGCAAAGAATATTTAAGGGACACAGGAAGTAGAATCATCAACTTTGATCGTAAATTAGTTTTCGAGTTCAAGTATCAGTTTATTTTGTATATCACTTCTCATACAAAGAGGTAAACAATAGCAACATAACAGAGGGAAACTAAAGAGAGGAAACAGAAGCAGTCCAAACAGTAGAGACACAGCATAAACACACGGGAAAAATAATGATAAGATATATATTACTTTATGAGGAATGCTGAACTGAATAAAAAGGTCAAATACTGAATACAACCTTCATAATTAATTCAAACAATCACTTCTCGACTTGACTTCTTTCTGCAAAATAGTCCGTTTTTTAACAATTGTGAACTCAGCCACCGCTACTTTTGTTAGATTCCATCTTAAACATTTCTAACCAAAGCTCTTTGATGTGCAACAAATTGGAGAACTTGAAAGCATGGCCTCTTTGTTTGCTTTTTTTATGAACCTATTATTTTTGTTCGTGGGAAATGTACTTCAAGAGATGGTCACTGATTAAAAGTTTTGCAGCTTTTGCGAGTGACTAAAATACACTTGGGGAATTCATTGGCTAATAAATAAGTTATAGGCATGTGTATGGGGCCAAATAGGGTCTATTTTGATAGATTTCATTCCTACAAGGGCAGGTGCTTTGACCTCAGCGCTTATGCTCTCATGGAAGTAGAGCATCATCTAGTGGCCAAAATGAGGCAGCACTGCTGTACACATCAATCTCAAACAACAGCAAGATATTGTCTCCTACAGGTGTTCTTAGTGTGCAAGTTAGGTGACAGCTTTGTGGGGAAAGGGATCTCTAAGTTTGGAGCACGGGCAGTCTATTTCAATCGGTGTTGGTCCAGGATTGATACAGTACGTGTCATCTCAGCCACTCGTTGAGTGTGTCCTGTCAGAGTAACAAACAGGATCTGAATAGTAAGCATCACATGACAAGTATCAACAGCACTGGGTGAGGGCAACGCTGTTTGCTTTCATCTGCTCTCTCTCCTCCAAATGATGAATGCCCATTTCCACCACTTATTAAAAACTAAATCCATCATGCCAAGTGTATAAGACTTGTTATGTCACTATTAAGATAATAGATAATTATTATAATCATATTAGCGTTTATACTTATAAGATACCAAGTCATATTTATCAGATCTTCGAGCATTCAAAAGTGGTTTGTTATTATTGTAAGTCAATGAGTATTTGGATGGACTTTCTTTGTTATGGTCTTATAGGCGTTTTCATTCTTGAGATTGGAAACAGTAATACAACATATTATATATTTGCTACATGGTAAAGTAAAGATTTGTTATATCAAATCACCCCAAACTGTAACACTTCACTTTAACCCCCAATTAGAATTAGATATAAACATTTAATTTGTATGATAGTATTGTTAACCGTTTATTTAATGTGTTTACAACTACTTTATAGTTTGTTATGAACCATTTGTAAATTTTTGCCTTCAAACGCTGAAGGCGTTTGCTTTATAGACACGTGTTCCTGCGGAGGAATTTTGTCCCACCAGTAGCACCGTATCTCCTCCGTCACATGACCACCAGCGTTTCCCGTTACTATTGTATTACACTTCCATGTTTTTCGCCTCAAACAGCGACCCGTAATGTGAACCACAGCGGTGCACGTCGTCACTAGTCGTGTGATTTGTGTCGCACATAAGATATAAGTTAGTTCAACGTCCCGTCGCGGAGGCGCTGACCCGGAGAGGAGGTGGTGGGGGTCGGGGGTCGGGGGGTCAAACATGGCCAACTGTGTGGCTTTCCAGAGCAAGTTAACCTCCATCATGGAGGTGCTGGCGAAGGCTGCCGTGGTGGAAATTAGCAAACTGTGGGAGGACGGCTTCGCCCTCGTGCAGCTCGAGCTCCGGCGGAGAGAGAGCGAGATCGAAGCCCTGAACAGAAAGTTGGTGTTGATGGAGAACGAGCGGCTCACGAGTCTGTCTCCACCATCTTCCTCCAAGAGAGAGCTGCAGCCGCTCACCGGTGACGGTAAGCATGTGACCCCTGACCTTTGTTGGGAAAACACATAATGCATCTTTTCATTTGATCATTATTGGCCTTTTAGCTCAAAAGAAGACTTGGAGGCTACTTTCTGACTGCATCTAAATAACATTCTACTCATTCTGTGGGTCAGTTGGCAGAAAATGGTTCAAAAACAATTTAGACAATCAAGAATAAAAAAGCTAAATATCTGTATAGTTTTCACTTTCAGATGTGAGGATTTTCTGTTTCTTTGAGTTTTATGTCTTTGTAAACCAAATAGTTTTGGACCGGTAGTCGGACAAAACAAGTAATTTAAACGTCACGTCATGACTAAATGAGAAATCTATTCATTGGAAGAATAATTGATGGAATAATCAATAATGAAAATGAATGTGCGTTACAGCCCTGCTAATATCCTTTTAGGTCAATCTGTGTTGGTAAGAAGCCATTTTACACCAGTTAAACTTGTTCCACGTCACCTTGAAAGCTTTGAAACCTCACTTATAAAAATAGTGATTGTTACATCTATATCAAAGCACATACATACTGTCAACTGGCTCTCAATGCACGTATAAAACATGCACCTGCTCTGTCGTTTCAGGGCCGATTATAGATTCTGTCCAGACGCTGTCGTGCGATCAGAGCGTCAGAGAGAAGGCGGACACGTCAGCGAATCACAGGACTCCGCCTCCATCACAGACGGAGGAGAAACAATGCGAGCAGCTCAAGTCCGACGTCTGCGAAAGCGACGGCAGGGACGACGACGAAGACCTGATAGTGAAGCTAGAGGACGAGGACGACGTCCAGATCGTGGAGCAGATCGTGGACTCGGTGGATCACGCCGACGCCGACGGAGCGGGTCACCACGAGATGGAAGTGGACCTCCAACCTGCCGAGGAAGAACAAGAGAGCCAGCATTGGTCGTCTGTTTCGGTGGGAGACAGCGACACTGCTGATGACTCGGACTGCTTCTTTGAACCGAAGCAGCTGTCACAAAACCTGGACTCGGAAATCCTGCTCATTCAGAATGCGTTGGACATTTTTGACAATTCAGCAGAGACGGCGTACTCTGACAGGTTTGTGAGGGATAATGGACCTGGTGCGTCGAGTAAATCGAGGGCTCCTGTGACTTTTAGCCAACCTCAGCAGCAGAGTCAGCCTACAGAAGCAATGAATCACCCAGAGAGAGTGTCCATCAGATTCCTCTCAGAGAAACAACCACAAACTAAAAACATGTCCGCTTTTAACCCCGACAGCAGATTCTTCCTTCTGAACGACCCCGAGGTGCATAAAACTATAGCGAGCCGCCGCATAAAGGAGAAGTGGTTCATCTGCCCGTTCTGTGGCAAGAGCTTCGACCGCGTCAGCCACCTGGAGATTCACCAGCGGATTCACACGGGTGAGAAACCGTATACGTGCGACACATGCGGCAAGTGTTTCTCTCAGAGGAGCAACCTTCGCACTCACCAGCGGACTCACAAAGAGGCACTTTCCCAAAATGATTCAGTAACTTTCGAGGTGTGAGAAACAGCTCGAAATATCAGTGTGTCTAGATGAACTAACAAATTCCCTTTTCTATTTTGACATCACTGAAATGTAACGTAGCCGACTGATTTTACTGTGCACTTCTTTCTTTGGGATGAATTAAAACTTTAACATAGCTTGGAGTGTAAGGACTAACTTTGGTATTAAGTACTGTTTGTAAACCTGGTTAAAAACAAACATGTAGGGACATCCAGCCACGGTGACATGGCTGAATATTGATGTCTACAGGTTACACATAAGGACATGAATTGCAAACCTGTGTGTGTGGTGACTGTAGAGACTCTGGTGTCCCTCAACATCACCATTTCCTCATCCTTTGTCCGTTATCAGGCTCACGGTGAATATCGAGCAAACAGAACTGCTGGTCGAGGGAAAGATATAGATTACAAATGAACAGACATTATGAAAAAGACAACCGCAGCGCTTAGCGAGTGAGACTGAACTCACACCAGTCTATTGCTTCATGGAACAGTCGCCATTGCACGGTGACCTGGCTCGTGTCTTTGTAATACTGCTGAAACGTCAACTTTGGTCACATTTCATTCAATGTAAATTGTGAAACTTAGGCAATATCTCACAATTCTGTAAAGTCATGGACTGCATTTATAAAGCGCCTTGCTAGTTTTCAACTAACTCAAAAGCACTTAACAATACATGCCGACATTTACCACACACACATTAGGATCTAATCTAATGCTCATTCACTGCACAGCCTTCAGCAGCAATTTGGGGTTTCAGTGTCTTGCCCAAAAACACTTTGACATGCAGACTGCAGGAGCCGGGGATCGAACCGCTCTGTCCCCTGAGCCACAGCTGCCCCACCATATGTATCTAAGGCTAACACAGAGAGGAAAGGAAGCGCTCATCTTAGCGCTTTAAGAATTAAACCTTGCATGCTGGGAGATGTAGGCATCTTAGGTGTAGTCGCCCAAGGTCTCCTCCAGTCATCCATGCCTGGTTCACTTCCTCCCCAAACATTCCATTTGAGTAGAGGAGCAGCATCCTAAAGGAAAAGTTTGCCGTTTTGGGAAATACGCCTTTTTCTTTCTTTTAAAAAAAAAAAAAAAAAAAAGTTGGATGAGAAGATTGATACCACTCTCATTTCCGCCAGCAGCTGATTAGCTTAGCTTAGCACAAAGACTGGAAACAGAGGGAAACAGCTAGCCTGGCTCTGGAATCCTCCAGCGCTCACCAGGGGTAACGGGTTGCATCTCGGCTGCGGACATGAAGCAACTCTTGAAAAGAAAGGGAATAAGCCTATTTCACAAAATGTCGCTGTAATCGTTGAACACAGAGGTTTTCTGAGATTACTCAACCATCCTGTCACACAGAGAGAGACCAGCCACCCTGTGAAAATCCAGTTTTTCTACTGGTGTCCACAATCTCAATTATATCCTTCATTACCAAGCAACTGATGAGCAAATCCAATTGAAATGTTAGTGCAGCAGCTGTGATCGGTGATGCCCTTTATCCTCACATGTATGAGGCCAATCAAGCTCAATTATCCCAGGTTATAATAAAGAACAATGACTTTGTATGCTGTACTTTTATGAATAAACATTTCAATATTTACATGGCAGGTTTTTTTTTTATAGTTCCATAGAAAAACACTGAATTAATATAAACAATTTACACGAACACACACACACACACACACGAACACACACACACACACACGAACACACACACACATCTTCTGCACGTTTGGTCCAGTCTGTTCTTCGCTGTACACTGATATGGTTTACATCTGGTCATGGAGACCAGTTTGCTTTGTGTATACATGAACATCCACCCGTTTACTTTGTCCCCGTTTGTGTTCAGGTGCCTTTTTGACCTTTTTACAGTGGCTGTTCAATGACAAAATCATAAACGTATACATAATACATAGTTACAAAAATGCACACACTTACTTCTTATCTGCAGGTGCATCCCAGCTGAAAATATCAAACACTATAGTACAGTTTACTGTGTCCTTGTCCATATGATCCTCCCTGAATGTCTTTGATGTAAACAAGGCACCCGATTGTGTTTGTCAGGATTAATTGGGACTCTGTTTTTGTCAATATAAGATAATAGATAACAGAGTAAACATTGTGTAACAGGAACCTTTATTCCGTGCATGTTTAAGGAGTGAAATATCTTTCATTTACACTCCGTGGTTGTTTGTGAAAGGCAGAACTCGTCCTGCTACTGTAATTCTCCATCAGCTAAATAATCGGGATCAAAAGCTTCCCAAAAATGGGGCACCCTGCCATCTCTGGTTCATGTCTGGCTGGGTACTTTTGCTGCATGACAGTCACCATCTCTCTCTCACCTTATTTCCTGCTGTCTGTCGGCTATCTAATAAAGGCATAAAATGCCCCAAAAATGTATTCATAGGGTGAGAATAAAAAGACAAAAACTCACTATCCAGATGCAAGAAGTAACAGTTTGGATCGTTCTTGAGGTCAACTACCCCCTGCAGTCAATTTGTACAAAACAAACATCCCGTTGAAAAAGGATAACATCAGTTTCAATGCAGGCGTTTCTCTCCTCTCATGTTTTGGATGAGAGTCTGTGGTCTAGATGATCTGTCCTCTGGGGTGCAGCAGGATGGCGTTGGAGTGTGGCCTGGGCCTGAGGATCCCGTTACTGTAGTAGAAGTGATTGGTGAGCGCCTCCGAGAGCTGGTAGGGGCTGCTGTTCGCGTCGTCCACGTGTTCCTCGTCCACCGACTGGGTGGGAGCCCAGTCCTCTCCATGCGGGGGGTCTCCCTCTCTGACGTGGCCCAGGTCTGGCTCTGTGGGCCCGACGCCTTCGTCCTGCTGGGCCTTCAGGGGAACCAGGGAAGAGGGCAGACCTGAGTCCTGGTATAAACGGCATAGAAACACATTACTGTCTCTCCCTCTCTAGCGCTGGATGTAGATATGTTTTACTCCTCTTTTTCTTTTTTATTAATAAAAAATGGGCAAATCCTTATTTGTTGTGAAAAGTTCACTGCTATGATATCAAATGGGCTTAAACACTTGCTCCAAAAATCCAAAATAAGGTGGTGTGTTCACTTTGGTTTTAACAAGACATCCTCCAACTTTGCAATACATTTTAAAACAGCCTATGAGACACAGTATTGTATGTCTGCTGGTGTTTGTTCAAAGTGAAAATCAATGTATGCAGGAATTATGCAGGCTAAAAACTGAAGAAAACAGGTACAAAAACACAACATTAGAGCGACATATACAACCCTATTTAAGGTGGTGAAAGGACTCCGGTTGGTAAATTCTCTGCTTTTGCAGGAACATGAAGTGCTATCTTTTCACAACAGGTTGGTCAATAATACACTGCTACTTCTGCTTTAAAAAACAGACAGGAAATATAAACTTTTCTACATTTTGGCAGTGTTGAATGCAACCCTGTAGAGCAGATATTTCCTGTAAAAACTGACTCCACTTAATGAGTGTTTAAGGGTAGCCAATCAGGTTGTGATACATTCACTGGTGTTAAGTATGTACCAAGTTTACTTGGTTGTTTTATCCTATTTGTACATAAATTAAAGACAATGTGATCATTTGAAATGGACAGAGCTGCCCAGATGAATTTGTTTTGAAAAATATGTTTGAAGTCCGGTTGTTCCGTCTCCAAGAAAGCGTCTGACAGCGACGACGCAGGTTCAGCAGCAAATAAAACACGATACCGTATGACTCATTACAAACGAAACTAAATGCGTTCCAATCTATTCTCTGGGATGCTGACACATACCAGAGACATGTTGCTGCTCTTCAGGTAGGACTCCACCCTCCTCCTGCGCTCCTCTTTCTCTCTGTCCATCTCTGCTCCTCTCAGGCTCTCCCTGCCGTCGTCCCAGACGACGGGGCGTCCCAGTTCGTCCACCTCTACCCCTGCTGGAGGCCCCCACTTCCCGCTCAGAGTGGAGACGGGTCGTTCCTGCAGGCGGGGATACAAACACCGATGAAAGGGCTCTTCAGTTCTCACACAATAAATATGATAATACAGAAATTGTTGTTATTTATGTATTCATCAGTTTCTTTTCAATCATGTAAGTTAATATACTGTAGTATTACTTTAAGTAACTGTGTGTTTTAAAGGGGGATGGACAACCTGTGGAAGCTAGTAATTGATGCCGCTTTTTACATCTTTGGAATAAATTTGACCATTTTCATTTAAAAAAGGGGAATATTCAGCATTTCTCTCAGATGTTTATTACTGACTAGACTACTGAATTACTTCTGTTGCAATAATAATTCCACAAAAAATGAATACCTTGATTATTTCACAGATTAATCAATTAATTGTTTACTCTCTAAAATTGTAAAAAAAAAAAAGAAAAAGGTCATATTGACACTTTTGTTTCAACGTTCTGAAACCCAAAGACATTTAATTTACAATCTTGTAAAACAGAGAAGACACCATCTCTTTACATTTCAGAATCTGGAATCAAATAATTCTCCCAGAGAGGAACTCACCAGAGACATCTGGCTGTTTTTCATCCGGCTGTCTACTCTGAGCAGAGCGTAATCTTCAGGCTGGAATAAAGAGAGAAAGTGAGAGAAAGTTAGCGACCATGAGAGCAAAAGATAAATAAACTGAACCACCCAGAATGAGATGTTAGCATGCAGCGTTCATAGACACTTATTATTTGTTTGAAGCTGCAGCAGCCTGCAATCATCAGCCTCCACACAGCAGACATGGCTGCCGTCTTGGCAGCGGCTCCACCCCAAACTACACTGGGGCGGGTCAGGTGTGTCCGCCTGGTTTCTCTGAACTCTGCAGGTTATTGTTCTCAGTGTGTGTCTGTACCTGTGCTCTGGGGTCTGTGCCGACAGAGTTTAGTCTCCTGAAGGAGTTTTGTCTGGAGAAGCTTTGAATTTCCTCCCTGAGAAAAAAAAAAAAACACATTTACATTTCAGAAAATAGTGTGTAAACAGTTTTAAATAGCAGTTAACAACAAAAACATTCACAGTCCAGCTGTCATCAGGGTATGGGGAATGAATAAAAGTATTTTCCAGTTTGTCACCACATGGCTTTTTTCAAGAGAATTGTGGGCCAGCAGCTCACGTTTTTTCATTAAGCTCCTTCTCAAGCCTTTTGTTTTTGTGTCGATGGTAGCGGTTGACCAGCAGGACGACCAGGACCAGGATCAGGACCAAAGCTCCGGCTGAAGCACCAATGATGATCAGCAGCAGGTTATCGATGGGGCCCTTCTGTTGAGAAGTCTCTGGAAGAAAGACGAGGACGGGAAGACACCTGATGAATATCTCTCACGCAAAGAGTCACACCGCAACAAAACCACAGTGACATGTTTCCTGCAGCAATTTTGATCCTAAATTAGGTAAAACAGCATCAGTTCATGCTGCATGTCCATCACAAGGGGGCAGCAAATTTGCACAATTAAGGAGAATTGCTCAGAATTTAATTTTTCTTTGAAACTCAACTTGTCTTATGATTCATTCTAAGTATCTGTCCTCTCATTTCAACCTTCAACACCAACAAAGCATACAATAGAAGGACAGTTTTTCATGTTAGTCCTGTGTGATCCTAAACACCAACAAAGCTGAAATGCACTCACCTTTTACTGTCAACATATAATCTGTTTTTCCTACTCCCACGTCGTTCCTGGCCACACACTCATAGACCCCACTGTCATTCATGCGGAGGGCCCGCCCAAACACCAGCTTTCCTCCCACCACAGTCACCCTATCCGGCACCGCTCCTCCTTTCCTGTGGACAAGCGGAAGACTATGTCACCACTAATTGGCAATGATGTGAACCAGAGGTGAACCCATTGATAAACCGTACAGAAACACGCGACTCACCGCTCCAAACAATAGCTGTGACTCATCTTGGTGACCAATGTGAACCGACGGGCATTCCAGTACAAAATATAAACCTGTTGTGTCAGAGGAGGAATCTACAATAACGCCTGAAGGAACACAGCAGCATGAAATGCAGCGAGCGGCTTGCTTCACAAGTGTTTCGGCTAAATTAAAACATCACAGGATCGGGTTCGCCGCAGAGTGTAACCATCAATTCCCTTGCACCTGAACCAAAACCTGCTGGGCTTACGACTGGCGCCCATTGATCCGAACAGACCGAATAAATATAGGTTTGGGGGATTTAAGCAAGTTTAGCGAGTACACGGTGCAGCTGAAGACATCACATAATGGAGAGCCAGTTTCTGATTAGGTCCACTGAGAGGGGTCATGTTGCCCTCGGTTTCACTGTGCTGCAGCAGCTATTTAACTGCCGCTTCACCCCCCCAAACAGAGGCAAGCTCAGATTTCTTTTCTCAAAACTCCACCTAGCCTTTCTCAACAGCCTTTTATAAGAGAGTCACAGGAGGAGATTGCATCCGACACAGAGTAGATGGTTGAAAACGATACAGATAAAGCGAGCAAAACCACCTTCAGCAGCCAAAAAGATTCTATTCCGTTTTGTTGATCTTTGTGAGAAAATTCTCACAATACCAATGCAACGACATGCAGGCAGGCGTATTTTGTTACCATTGGTCAGAGCCACGCTAGCAGTCTTTATGCTAAGCTACGCTAAATGGCTGCAGGTTGAAGCTTTATATTTACCTTGCAGATATGAGAGAGGTATCGATCTGCTCATCTAACTCCACAATTAAGTAAATAAGATAAAATGTTCTTTATTTCTTCAAAAGGTTCTCTATATGGTATAGGTACAGTGTAGCATTTAGGGGGATCTATGGGAAGAAACGGGAATATACTGTCAATAAGTATCTTTTCTTTAGTGTATAATCACCTGAAAATAAGAATGGTTGTGTTATAGTTACCCTAGAACATTTATATCTACATACAGAGCAGACCCCCGTGTTTCTACAGTAGCCCAGAGTCTGTTTCCCCATCAAAATCGAAATTATAGCACAACAATGCTTGTCCACACAGCGTGATCTTGTAATGATGAACGCGCCGAAGGGTCTGCGGGGATGAAAAACCTTAATCCGGAATAATCTTAATATTTCAAGATTGCCTCATGGCTAAAATATTTTCCACTCAGCACACAACATTTGATCATCGTGTGTTCAGTCGTAGCTGTAATAGCTGGTACGGTCTCTCTAATTTAAGCACAGACCCTGTGTTTTACCAGGCATTAGAGTGATATTTAAAGCATGGCACTATGATTAAGTGCTTAGCATGTGTCTCCTGCCCTTCCTTGTGTCGCTTACTCCCTCCCTCATGTGAAAATATCTCTCTCAATCTTCTGACTTCAAATTGCGCAACACGACACCACAGCTTTTATTCTGTGGTGAATTAAGCCAGGAGAGAAAGACGCCCTCTTTTACATTCAAAGCACACTTCCTCGTTGTTCACAGGTGTGTAGTAGTGTGTGAGTGTGTGTGTGTGTGTGTGTGTATGTGATCGCAGTGGCTTATATATGCTGTGAGACACATTCCAGTGCCATGTAAAGAGCAATTAGTGCAAATAGCATCCCAGTGGGTTGAATTAACATGTAATTGTCAGATTCTTGCTGGCAGCCAGACGGTTAATGTGCATGAGCAATGTGCATGAGCAGCAGACAGACTGATGACGGTACCATGTCCAGGTGATGTTCTGAGGTTTGGGGTATCCTCCGCTGCCGCAGACCAGTTCAGCTTTCTCCAAACCCACAAACCAGTCCCCTGTACCAGCAGAGATGGTGGCGTCTGGGGGGTCTGACAGAAAAACAGAAAAACCTTGTATGTTAGGATTTGTATCAGCAGAGAGGGCCATAAATGTGTGAGGCTGTTTCGTGTCTTTGATTATCCAAAGATGAAGTTGCCTCAGCACTACTTTACGTTCTCATACTGATTAAGTCTGCAGAGGTGGGACAGAAGCAATTGTTTTGCAAGTCACGAATAAGTCTGAAGACCTGGCAATGAAGTCAAGTCAAAGTACACTAAACTCTGGGTTTTGAGTCATGCACCAACATTTAATACCAAGTAAGTATATTAAATTTACAGAATTAACCAGTGTGTTCTGGTACATGATGTCCTTCCAGTGACACAATTACTAATGTATGTCATTTCTGAGTCGAGTGTCTTGCATGTTGCTGAGGACAGCAGAGTCTCTCCTGGTCTGCACTGCTCCTCCTGCTGAGGCAATGCTCTGTACAGCTCTGCACATCTGTTGTCAGGATAATCTAAAGTCGATTGCTGCACGATGATTCAGTGGTGGTATTCACATCCTTTACTTATGTAAACGTACGTATAAGGGAAAACCCTGCATTAAAAGATTCACTTAAAGGAGACATTAAGCTCATTTCCAGGTTCATACTTGTCTTTTTTGTTTCTACTATGTTTACATGCTTTAATGTTCAACATTTTAATTTCCCTCATACCGTCTGTCTGATTATACCTGTATTCACTGTCAGCTTGGGTGCATGTTTACTTCCTGTCAGCTGACGTCATTCACATACACTGCAACCGGGAATAAACGGTGACACATTTAGAATGTTAACGTTTAAAACTGGTCTAATTATTGTACAGATAGCACAGCCGTGATATTTATATAGCACTTGGAAAATCTCACTCTTAAATCTCACTTTAAAGAGTTTGCTTAACTTAAGAAGTAGAAGAATTTTTACTTTTGTATTTACTGGACAGAGAGTATAAGAAATTGTAAATAATAACTAAAGCTGTCAGGTAATTGTAGTGGAGTAAAAAGCACAATATCTGTTCTCACATGTGGTGAAGTAAAAGTATAACTTGTGTTGTATAAAAGGGAAATACTCAAGTAAAGTACAAGTCCATCACATTTTCTATTTAAGTTCAGTACTTGAGTGAATGTACTTAGTTATATTCCAACACTGCAATTATTTATGGTAAAGTACATTTTAATCTTTGGGCTTGGGGAGAATATCAAGTCATTCCAAGTCAAAAGGTTAAAGTACAAATGGAGTAAGTCATTTGCGTTCAAGTTAAGTTGTAAGTCTGATAGCAGAGTCAGATTTTTGTCGAGTCACGTCTAAAGTCATCAGATTCGTGACTTGAGTCCGCTCCTCTGGGCGACATTGAGCTGTCACATTACACTGGACAGAGAGCCGTTGTTGCGTACAGAAGGAACTGAATTGAAGGGTGATAGTGGAGGACGAAGCATTACTCATACACTTTCCCAGCAATCTGCCAATATTGTTTCATGTTTAGTCTACTGCCAGCCATTTACTTTCCCAATAGGAATGTTAAGCTATACAAATAGCTCCTGCAGGGCAGCCAAAGGGGAAAAGGCCACAGTGGGTTAAATGAGCCATTAGCAGGAGGAGCTAAAACAGGTTGAACTGAACATACAATATGCAACAGTGTCCTAATTGTAAACTCCATAGTAATTCTGAGCAGATTCAAAGTGTGTCACACTGACAAAATTAGAAATACTTTAAATTCTGAGATGTGCACTATTGTCCAAAAATGCTATTTACAAAAGAAATGGAGGTGCTACTCACAGCTGCAAAAATTCTAAATACATTGTGAACGGTGGTAGAACTGCTGCAGAAATATCTCAAAAATGTTATTAAAAAAATATTTTGAAAACTACTTTGTTCTTATTTGAGATTAGATTATAGGTTTATTTATTTGGTGAAGGTGAAAAGTGAGAAGTGAAAGTAATATTACATGCATATACATAATGCATTATTTTAACTGCAATAAAACAGTATAGATTAGTATACTGTATGTACATTTACTACAAGTCATTTGGAAAAATAAAAGAAGGTTTCCTAGTTGATCATTCACCAAGCTCTAGGTTAGCTCATCTTGGTGAGAATGCTAATTACAAATCTAATTAAGTCATGAAGTCATGCCTGATAACATCACCGTCATTAAATGTTTCCCATGCTTTGAGTGGAATATGCCTTTTACAATGCAGACATTGCAGGAAACACACAGCTGTAGCTAATAATAATGATTTATTTATAATACTACATTTCATTAAGGTGTTCCCGTTCCACGGCTCTGGTATGAAGTTCTTACGGACACACCTAAACGAAACAAAGTTACCATGAATCTATCTATGAGTCAGAAACAGAGCCCGAGCTACATACCACAGAAATCATCAGCAGATCTTTGCACTAAAAGAAAGTCAGTGTACTTAAATCGGTCAGTATGCAAACTAAAAAAAAGCACATTTTTTGACTGTGCAGTTTGTCTGAGGGGTTGGTCACAGCTGCATAAAAAAACATTTACAAATTACAAACATTAAAACTGTGGCTGGTGGCGAGGCAGTTCAAAGAAGTATTACAATCTTCACTCTCTTCTGTCAAGTGGAACTGACTTGGACATTCCGAAGCCACAGCTCGATCGATCTACGGGTGTGCTGCATATTTCCTGTTAGTACTAAATGTGCAGGCATATTCACTAATAAGTAGTACACTCTGATATTAGTACACACTGTACACAGTTGGTACAGCATGGAATTATATTCTCAGACAAAGGGTGGTTCCTCCCACTGATGTTTAACTCAACCAGTAAGATGATTTCTGCACTTAGACAAGCTCTACCCTCGAGAAAATATTAAATTCTATTTAAAAACTACAATCTGCTTTTGGTCTATTTTTGGCCTAAAAACACGACATCATCATCATCATCATCATCAGCTGTACTCACACTGGACCACCAGGCGGTTTGAGATCCTGCGCGGCTGCACCAGGCCGGGATGCCACACCAGACAGTCCAGCTTTCTCCCGTTCATGCTGCGCAAAGGGTGCAGGGAGTAGTAGCTGGACACGGACCCGCCCTCTTTGGTGCGGTTCTGGGACTGGCCCGGCAGGTCGGTGTCCCAGGAGAGGCGGGGAGCCGGGCGGCCCACGGCTCGACAGGAGGCGGCCACGCGGTACGACTGGCCCTCCACCAGGAGCACAGGGTCCAAGTTGGAGATGGGTAAAACTGAGACGAGGAGGAAAGAGAAACAGGGTGAGTTGAGAGGCATCAAACGTACGTTTTGCTTATTGTGTTTGAGCTTCACTTTTCATATTCATAGATTCTGGATTTTTCAGGGTGAAGAAGTAGATGAAATGTGTTAAGAAACATGTTGTCAATTTTAAGTATGAATGAAAATGCATGACATCTTTATATCGCTACATGGTTTTATTTAAAACAACAAAATGTCTTTTTTTAACAGATAAATCAATTTACTTACTAACGTTTTTGCTTTATTATGTATTTTATGTATCCAACACAAAATATTTTTGATGTTGTGTATAATTGTACTGTAGGCTATTATATGAATTGGGTTGCGTTTTCAGATTTTGTATTTTCTTGCTTTTATAGACAATACTTTGTGTATTACTTGCTAAAAACACAATAATTATTATTGTAAATATAGTATTAGTAGTAACAATGATGTGGTAAACCATTTGCGTAAAGTACATTCCCTACAATTACCGCATTAAGAGTTAATTAATACTTCCTAAAGCCTGCTCGAGGTAAATTTGTCTTCACCTAAAATTACCTAAAGTGGCTGTAATTAGATCCATTAAAACCAGGACGTCACTGAATGTTTGACTAGTGATCATCATTGTGGGACAAGTTCAAGCAACAAGCACTGGAAGATTCAGATAAGAACGTTGTTATAAAAAAAGACCTTAAATACATCCTGGAACACAGAGGAAACCATAATCAAGAAAACTAGGCACCACCAGGATCTTACTGAGGAATGAAATACAGACGGTGAGCAACAGTGAAACAACATCAGGCATGAACATTAACAATATGTAGAGGATCCTCAAGGATATGAACTAAATCAAGTCCATCGTAATTCAGTTGGTGCAGAACTCAGCAGCGAGACTTTAAACTGGAACACGCAGGCGTGACCACATTTCACCGATCTTAAAATCCCTTCATTGACTCCCTGTAGAGTACAGAATTCATTTTAAAATGTTATTTGTTTTTAAGTGTTTAATTGGCGACGTCCCAGTCTATCTGTCTGACCCGCTGCAGCCCTATACCCCACCTCGCTCACCAACATCTCTCGGCCAACAGCCTTTAGTTGTTTTCCGAAAACAAAAATGACAACCCGGGCCGACCGGTCCTTCTCTGCTGCTGCCCCTAAGCTCTGGAACAACATTCCCCTTCATGTTGGGTTGTCATCCACCTTACCGATGTTCTCCTTTCCCTGGCCTATCACCTTTGATTTTAACATGGCACTTTTGTGTGATTTGTGTCAGTTAGTCTTTGATTTTAATGTCAAGTACTGTTATCAATCCAGTCTTTGATTGTATGACTGTGTATCTACTGTATGTGCAGCACTTTGGGCAACTTCTGTTGCATTTTAAAATGTGCTATAAAAATACATTTTGATTGATTGATTGATTAATTGTGCAAGAAGACAAGAAACTATGTGCGTAAATGTCCCCAGGGATATTCTCACATAAAACTATTTCGGTTGTATTGCTCTCGGTAACCAACAGGTTTAACACGGTTGTGATTCACGCCCAGCTCATGGCAGCGTTGGCTGTTGTAAACACCTAGTAAATCTTTTCGGATTATTAACGTAGAAGACTAAACAGGTAGTTAGCATTAGCAGAAATCTCCATTATGGATTAACACACAAAGAAAAGGACACTACCTGTAGACACTCAAACCTTGTAAACAGAAACTCTAAAATACATGACATCACAGTATCGCCCTCAGCGTGTGATTGACAGGTGATACGTGGGAAGGAATTTCCTGCAGGGATAATACCCTGCTCTACTTATGGATTCAACAATTATTGGTTACATGTTTTAAGGTTTAAGGAGTTGAGGGAATTCGATGCTGGAGGTTGGCAGTTACTAGTGAGTGTATTTCTGTAGGTTTGTCTGATCTGTGGCGTGTTGGGACAAGCTTACAACTCAGCTGTCACCACTCATGACCTGATGGTGCAACAAGAGAAAGTAATTTGGAACAGATGGCAGCGCTACATGTTTTACTAGGAGGAGGATCCAATTAAAACAAAAAACGGGATCCCCACAGCTGCTATTAGGCTTCCACTGAAATCAGGACACAATGCAAGTATCTCAGTAAGTGATGAAGGAGGACACACAAATGATTGTCAGAGCCGGTGCAGACAACTGCATAGATTAATATGAAAGCGTAAATGTTGTGTGACACGTGTGAGTGAAAAACGTCTAGACGGGGGGGGTTAGCCAATTGTGGGGTTGTGTTCAGTCCATCAAACATTACAGCAGTGGACCTTCCTAGTTTAGTTCATGATTTAGTGAAGCACTGGTGTGATTTCCAGACTGAAGACACAGTTTTGGACATCTTCTACAGAGTGAAGACCCACTAACCTGTTAATATCCACTTTTTGGTTCCGTTTCAAACTTACAATTTCAAGTCATTGCAATAAATAATGTTCAAAAATATACTATGCAAAACGATATTCACTTTTTTCAGTTCGCTTTTCACCCGCTGAAGCTTTAGATATGCTGTCAGTGTTTGTGGCCACGTTGACAAACCTGCTGAAAATCTTCTGGTTGGCTTTCTCTTCTACAAAGATGATTACGGTTTAAACATCATTACAGCAGCTCCGATAGGATTAGGAAAGTGTGGGAGCGCCGAAAAGATAGAGAGAGAGAAAGTACGAGGGTGACTCTTACTCCAGACGACGAGCGTGATGTGCCTCTCAAAGTTTCCGTTGGGGAAGGTGGAGATGTGGCAGGTGTAGCTGCCCTTGTCCGACTCATCTGTGCTGGGGATGAGCAGAGCCGAGTTCACCGTGGGGCTCCCGCTCTCAAACCTCATCCGGCCGGAGTAACGCCCGAACTCTGACAAACAAAACAAAGACTTCAGCTCAGGCCACATGTTCATCATCCTTTAAACAAAGCTCAAACAGACAAAAAATATTTTTAAAATATGGGAACAATACAAATTCTTCGTCAAAAGTGTTGACTCCAGGAAATGTTAATAGATTTATAGGCATTGGCCAAAATAACCAGCATTCATCCAAAGACGTCACAGCCTCACCTTATAGACAAATAACCAAGGTGTAAAACTTAACCAGGGGTGGCCCTAACTTTTTCTGCCTTTGGGCCATATACAGAAAAATATCACAGACCAAACTATAGAGAATGCGTAGTTTTACTTAGTAGTACTTTTAAACTGTAAAAAAGTGCAAGGCCTAAGTTCCCCCTTAAAATGATATGATTCTATGTGTAAACATGCATATAAGTAGTGCAAAAACAGGCTGAAATTGCCAAATATTGGTTTGTGTTCATGGCCTAAGGGCCAACTTAAAGAATTATGATAGAATTGCAAACGTGAGATATAAGTCTGTAAATCTGTCAGTCTAATATTAAGATGAAACAAACAGAATAGGCAGAAGTTGTAAAACATTGGTTTCTGTGCCAAGAGGTTAAGCCAGAGTTAGGATTTATAGGATCTCATTTCAGATCATTTCCAGATTCGAGCTCTGAACCTACAGAATAAAAAAAGTTCAACCTAGTTGCAATAAACTGGAAGGACATTTGGTTTTGATGGTTATCGGTTATCAGTTATTGCATGCCCTTTGAACTCAGTGCCCGTTTAGTCGCAGGGGCAGATTTATGGCTACAGCAGTGAGAAGTGTCAAATCCTAAAACTACAAAAAACGAAAGTGAAACACTCAAACTCTGTGAAATAAAATGTTTGATACAACAATATAAACAAATACTCTAAAAGTGTATCTAAAAGTTTGTATTCCTGCCTATTTACACTTCCAACCCCTCGCTGCAGCTCACCCGTGTGGCCGTCCTCGAAGTGGGCCGTGATGATCTGGTCCTTGCTGCCGTCGTGGAGCTCCTTGTACCAGGAGACCTGCACCACCTTCTCCCCTTTCTCCACCTGGTAGTGACAGGGCAGCCTGGTCTCGCTCTCGGCGAAGGAGCGCTGGGAGGTGATGGGCTGAGAAGGCTCCACAAAGTCCGCCTGCACACACACCGCTGAGGAGAGAGGGCGTCATCAAATTAAGGTGAGGGAGTGCGAGAGGTACGAGGAGAGCGCTTGAACAATTTGACCATTAATTAAAAAGGTTAGCCTCTGGTAATTACCTTTTTGTGGCATCAAAAGTCACGTAAAATGCAGTAAATCACAGATATTAACCTTTTTTATGGTAATCCCTCCAACAGATGAGATATTTCAGTCTGGACCAAAGTGACTGACTGACCGTCATCCCCAGAGTCACGCCGCTACCAAACATTTGCTTGTTCCAGCTTCTCAAATGTGAAGATTTGCTACTTTTCTCTGTTTCCCATCATTGTAAGTTGAATATTTTGCGGTTTTGAATATGGTCAGATAAAACAAGCTGGAAACTATTCACTGACAAGTGAAGTATTGATCCCTTACGAGGAAGTTTCCTTTTAGACTACAATTAAAAACTAACAACAGCTTTCCTTCTTTGTTTTTCATGATGAATAGTCTAGTCTATTGATTTCCTAAACACTGCATCGCAGGAGGCCTTGACGGGACCCCATGATGCGTTGGCCGAGAGGCGAGGAATACCCCAGACAGTTTTGTGCGTAGACAGAAAAACTCATTCACACCTACGCGCCGTCACCGGTTCACCTAACCTGCTCGTCTGTCGGCATGCAGACACAAAGAATAATGCAAACTCCCAACAGAAGGCGCAGGGACGGTTTGAACACAGGACCTTCATGCTGTGGGGCGACGGTGCCAACAACTTGAACAATAGTGCTTTTATGAGTCTTAATTCTTTCTTCAAAGGCAGAAATGTTTGAGTCTGAACAGAGCTTCTGCAGAGTCTTTGTTATGTGATGGTTTAGATGCTGTTTGAGAGGTTCCTCTACATTATCTTGATATTTTTGCGTTATGTCCGATTATTTTGTTTAAATTCCTTGATCGTCAATTATTCTGTTGTCTTTGTTTAAACGTTTCAAAAGTCTGTTTATTTTGAAGATTATGAAAACATATGAGAGTTGGACTGGTTATTGTCTGATCACCCGACTCTTATTCCAACTCCTCTTATTGAAAAAACTCGTTTATTTTTCATTACCCACCGAATATCTTCTAAGATATTACTTATCAGTTGTATTCTATTGTTGTTGACATTACACTATACCATTTGTCTTGTGTTTATTTTGTATTATTTATGGGTGTAGTTGCCTCTAGTAGATCTGACCTTTCCCTTTGATTTGTAGTTGCAGCCTGTGGCTTTAGTAGAAAGATTTCATGTTGTGAATTTGATGCCTGACAAAAGTCCATGACCAAAACATTGCATCTTTAATAAATGCAGCGCAGGAATTCAACTTTTCCTCACACAGATGCTTCAGTATGGTGGCCATGGAGTCTCATATGAGTGAAGTGCTATCAAAGCTGTCATCAGTGCCGACTGATGACTAAGATTGACTGTACTTTAATCACACCTGGTTAGAAGTCTCAGTCTGAGCGTGGGACAGAAACACAATCATGAGGGGAAAGGGTGTGAGAGAGCAATGCTTCTACAACTCAAACAGGGAAAGCCAAACATTTGCCCTTTGATTTCTGGGGTGACACTTTTTTTTTTTTGTAGTTACTGATTCACGAGCTCAATTAATGATTACACCGCAGCCAGTATGGGACAGGGCCGTCTCCCACAGATAACATCCAACACAGTCGGACACACGGACAAACTGGTCTCTTCACACAGAAAGTTTAAATTTGGCCAACAAAGAACTACAGTGTGGGTGACCCAACTGTGGAGTGGAGAGAGAAAAAGGACAGAGTTGTAAGAGAGCGACAGAAGAAGAACACCTCGATCATTTATGCCATTAAAATGATCGAGAAAGGAAGAGACACATAAGACTAACTTCAGAGGAAGGCAACGAGAAATGAAAATAGAGGTGAGAGTCAATAGAGATAAACAATAACCTGAAAGAGTTAAACACACACTGAAAGAAGACAAACACAGGTTCACTTGGGTCACAAGCTTGGGTCATACAAGCTTTTCCTGTTCACTCTGCACAACAGTAACTTCATCACACCTTTGGTTCCAGGATTAAAGGGAAAAACAACAGTTTAAAGGTGCATTTCCTCTTTTAATCGGAGCAGCACGGCCTAAATAATATAAACCGCAGCCAAAGACGGAGAGAACAGCAATCGTGTAGCGACAGAATTAGCCACAAAAAGACAGGCGGATGCATGTTGGGCAATCAGTTGTGATTCATGTTTACCGAAAGTAAAAATGTGACTGAGCCACATTCTGTCATGCTGCTTCTTCCTCCACACCTGCCGGGACAAACAGTTTGTGAGCGATTGTTGAACATTTCGTTCCTAAACCTTAGAAGTTAATCTGCTGCTTAAACAGCCTCCACGCTTCTGTGAAGACATTCCACCAGATGATCCTGAGCCCGGCTGCAGGGATTTGCTCCTCACTCGGCCACCTAGTGAGGTTGGCTGATAAGGTTTGGATCACAGCCGACGTTTCCATTTCTCAAAGGGTGTTGGGCCGAGGAGGTCAGCGGGCTCAGTGCAGGCCAGTTACGTTCTTGAAAATTGAATGAAACCAATTCCTGATGGACCTGGCTTTGTGCACAGACGTTGAAACATGAGAGGGCCTCACCAAAACTGTTGCCACAAGGTTGGAAGCACTATACTGTGTAAAAACAAATCTTATTTCGCTTGACGATTTCCCTTCACTGGAAATACCTGGATCATGAAAACAGTCCAAAACTAAAGTAAAAGAGGAAAGTTTGTGTCTAGCCAAAGAGTGTATACTGAATGATGAAACATCATCATTAATGTTTGGTCATCCATCTTCAGAAAAATTTAAATACACGCCCACACATCAGAAAAGAGACAGATAGGACTGTGCCACCAAGATCAGAGGTGTCCGCATACTTTTGGTGATATGGTGTAAGACAACAATATTCAGACAGTAATCATGAGTTCAGACAGATTTACACAGACATATAGATATTATATGAATTTCTTTTTTTAAAGTACACAAATGTGTCTATATCCTCACTCCATTTGCTTATTGGAATATCAAAGTGTTATTCTGTTAAAGATTTTACATTACAGTCATTTAGCAGACGCTTTGCGACTTACAATTCAGAGTCTAGGCACAGCTACGGGAGCAATTTTGGGGTTAAGTGTCTTGCTCAAGGACACATCGACATGCGACTAGCAGAGCCGGGGATTGAACCGCCGACCCTCTGATTGAAAGACGGTCCTGCTATCCACTTAGCCACAGTCGCCCCATATCCACATATCTTTTATGAAAGATAAAAAGAAGTGCAAATTACCATGAAGCACCATGAGTTAGTATTTATTTCCATGATTCTCCTGTAAAGCAGTTTGTAACTTCTGTTTTCTGTCCTTCCAAGATTATTATAGTGAAAACTTATAGAGTATCAATGACAATAAGGTTAGTGTTTAAATGTGTATTTAGTGTATTTAGTATGAGACATAATGCAACTCTTGTTTTTGGAATAATACAGTAACTTTTTGGAAAAGCACAAGAAGATAATAAGCAGTGCAGGTTGTGTAAAACAGTGAATTGTCATGTAAATGAATGTAACAGAAAACTCACCAACTAGTAAAAGCAGCGCCAGACATTTTGCCCTTTGCCCCTTCAACTCCATCTTTAGTCCCAAAATAAAAGCTGGTGTGAATCACCTTCCTCTCTGAGCTGTTGCCACTGCGGTTATCAAGTTCTCGTGGTCGATATCTGCTTTAAGATCTCACAGGAAGCCCAGCGGCACGCAAGGTGAGGAGCACGCAGCAGGAGGGCAGGTGCAACAGGTGTTCCCTCTTCAAATCACACATATGATGCTTACTAAATACAAAATCCTCCACGCGTCGTCCTCTGGTTGAATATTGTTGAAATTTGTAAACTGCATAAACTTAATTCCCTGTGCAAAGTCCTCTGCAGAGCCTGCACCGTGAACTCAGCAGACAAAGTAAAGGTACACGCCTGAAGGTGGAAACTTGAAACGCTATTTGATCCAACGCGGAAAATAAAAGTAAAGCGTGTGTTAACCAAACAAAAACCTGCTTGTTTGTCACGCACAGGGAGATATACCTACAACACAGGTTTCAGCCTCTACACCTGTCTGCGTCAGGCTCCGCCCACTGCTCGGCTGGACACGCCCGTTTGGTGCTGCGTTTACGTGGCGTTGAGAAAATCGTTCTTTTCACTTGTCATCACTTAACATCATGTCGGAAAATAAACACAAGAATAGACATCCTGCAGCATAAGCTGATTTATTTATTTGTATTCATCTACGGTTAATAATTCAACTTAATTATACTTTACAGAGCTGTTCATGCAAGAGAGAGAAAAACAGAGCAAAATAAATGAGAGAATATGACAGAAAACAATATTATTAAAACATAATAAAAAAGGTTTCACACTGTCCTTTGGGATACCAAACTCCTATATACAGAGGGTTCAGCAGAAATGTTGGTTAACACAGTTACAGGCCACTAAAAGTACGTTTTATTATGACTCTGTCAGCTATAAACCTATACGTATAAGGCTCTGCCTTTTTAAAGGGCTTATAAATAGCACACATCTTAAATTCAAAATGCATTTATAAAGCATTGCATTGTGAAAAAAAAATCATAATTACAAACGCCCAAAAAAATGCATGTGTCTCGTCTAATGAATACTCAATTCACCGTTATTCAAATGCAGCCGAGCCCCCAACTTCACACATTGAGATGTGAAACACAAGTGTGTCGTGTTGCAACAGAAGTCTGGATGAGTGAGTGAGTGTTTCTGGTGTTGTTGTGAAGAGCCTGGGGGAGAACAGGACACAACCACAGAGCGCACTGTTATGAATCTGTTTTGAATACATCAACAGTTATGTTTCTGTGTAAATAAGTAGGCGAGACAATAGTTGAGGAACTGCTGCTGTCAAACACTGTGACCTCTGGTGCTGTTGTATGTTTCTGTAAAGAATCAGCCATTTTTAGACATGATACATGTTATATTAACTGTCTATATGCTCAAACTAAATGCTCCCTTAATGCTGGTCAATTACAAGATTGGAACTATTTGGGGTGTTTTTGATTTGCTCCAGAAAATTGACAAAAATGATCATGTAATGTTGATTTCTTCCATAAACATGAAGCATATCTGAGAAGTCTATGACAATTTAAGTTGAGATTAAGTTAAGAGAGTTGAGATTGTGTTTTAAAAACTGCAGAGTGATAAAATGGACATGAAACTTGTTGAAACGAAAACGGTGTTCCAAACATTGTGATGCAAAATTTAATCAAATTAAATTGAATCAGCTCGAGATTTGTTTAACTCTAAAACCACAACATGATTTTCAGGACTAATCAAATCTACTTTATAAGTTTAGTCGATTGATCAATTAGTTGATTGACAGAAAATTTATGTAAAACAGAAAAATCTAAAATGCTACTTCCAGCTTCTTAGTTGTGAAAATCTTCATAATTTCTGTTTCATATCAGATTCTGAATCAGCTGATCTCTCACACATGGAAGGAATTAGACTCTGTTTTTTCCTTCATATCATTGGAAACTGAATCTTTGGACTGTTGGTCAGATAAAGAAAGACGTTGGAAGACGTCACCTCGAGCTTTAGGAAATTGTGAGGGGCCTTTTTCATAATTTTGTAATTTTACACGCTTGAAAGATTATGAAAAAATAATTATCAGATTAACTGTTAATAAAAAATAATCATTCATTGCACTCCTTCCTCGTGAGTGTTTTTCACATGAAGTGAAGCAAAATGGCTGAAAAAAGGGAACACGAACAGAAACAAAAGATAAATTCAAACTTCTGTTTTCTTGGTAACTTGTGAAAAACCAGCTGTGAAACACACTGACAATGGCTTTATTAGTAACTTCTTATATTCATTTAGTTTTAACATTTCACACATATAGTATTCTGAATAAAAATAGTATTTTTACAAAGAGAAAAGTCATAGAAACTCTACACAGGCACAACTTAATATACAGTATAAAGCTCTGAGGGGTTCGACGCAGTGTTTCTGTGCTCGGCATCCTCTCTGCACCCAAACCCTTCAGACGATCGGCTTTTTATCCATTTTGATGGTCTCGTAGACATCAATGCTGTGAGTGGTCAGACCCTGCAGAAAACAGACATCCAAACTAGTGAGAAGTAAACACCGGGTGTTAAAAGTTTAAATACATTTCTACAACACAATGCTGTGAGCATTTCCTGCACTGAGTCAAAGTGTTTTTCTTTTCTGACAGCCAGGTAGGTGAATAAAAAAAAAAAAAAAAGGTTCTTTACTATCCACTGGGCCTTAAGCTGTCACTTTTCCTTCATGTGCCTTTTTAAATGTCTTGTTAATCATTAGAATGAGAGGTCTCACCGCATAGATGCCTCCCGAAGCCGGCTGCTTCTGTGGGACAAAAACAGTTGAGAGGAATTCAGTGGAAATGGTTTCTTAGTAAACACAACAGAGCGCTGGGTGTAACGTGTGAAATACAGTTACTCCTTCGAGGCATCTTACTCACTCTAATCTTTGAGGATCAATGATTAAATGCATATAATTAGCAGGAAGTGGGATCTTGACACATTTGTGTGAAGAAACACTGGTGGAAACTGTGACTGTGTGCGTGTATAAATAATGATGTTCGGTGGTCAGCTTGAGCTTACAGGAAATGACAGATCGAGGTTGGCTTTAAAGCAGAACTAATGCCTTTGAGGGCGAAGTACCAACAAAAAAAATGAAGCCAAAGCATTAAAGAAAACAGTATCTGTCCTGTATTTTAGTTATTTTCTCTCCCCACAATAATATAGAACTTTAATTTTACCTCAGGCTGATTGGCAGCTGTTTTTTTGGACGGAATCATCTGTCAAAGACAAATCAGAAAGAACAAATGATTGTGAGATTCACATAAGATTTATCAGGAGGTGTAAATTAAACTCCAATGTGTGAGTGTTTAACTGGCAAAAGTGCTGAAATATTCAAAACCATATGAAGAGTTTGCTTCTAAAATGAGCAGATACATCAGAGACTCTGCTACAGTGAGCATGAAATAAACAAATATGAATGAGGAAATATATCAAGGGAGTTAGGATCATTTACGACAGAATAATCTACATTTCTATAGGATAGGGGAACATTTTAGTTTTTTATGTGCAAAATATAGAGAATATCTGAACAAAACTTTTAGAATAGTGTTAATAATCATATTTCTGTCAGCATCGTCATTTGGAAGAACGCTAACACAACCATAAGGAACAGTTCTGCACTTTCTTACACTCGTCATGGCGTGTGTGTGTGTGCGTGTGTGTGTTGTTCCTGTTTGTCTTACCCTCAACCTGCAGTATAAGACGGTGAGAATGACGCCGTAAAGGATGAGAATCCCATCCAGGATGTAACATACGTTCATGTCTCCAACGGCCTCTGCACACTGACAACACATCATCATCGTTCATCGTTCATCATCATCATCACCTCCAGCAGAAATGTGTCCCACCTGTAGGTGCTACAGGTGTGTTGAAAATCTCCCCCATGACATTTAACCATCGGGTGGGATTGATCACCAGAAAGGCGGCAATGAGCAACGCTCGCAGCATCTTACCGGCTGGGCTTCAGATGAGAAGAGAGGATCTGTTGTGTTGGTCCCTCGTCGGTTGTCAGCGAGAGCTCTTGTCAAACCCTCTGAAGTGAGCTCTGTGAGCAGCAGTGAACAGGAAGTCCGGGGCTCTCTGTCCGTGTTTTTTTTTTGTTTTTTTTTGAAGCTGTAAAACCACACGCCGACCACACTGCCATCCTCTCTTCACAGAAGTTCCTCTTAAACGCTTAAGAAAAGAAGAAAACACACACCCTGCTACTGTTTGGTCCAGTGACACAGAACTTTCAACATGATTAATGAGAGCAGACACATTTAAACAGAAAGCAGAATCTGTGTGAAACTATGTCACAAGACAACAGTGAGGATGGTCATTATGTTCACATCATTTCTTAAAGATAGCTTCACCTCCAGCGACCTCCCACGCTACAAAGTGAGGCAACAAAGAGACATGTAAGGAATAAATGGTTTAATAATGGAAAAAGGCCTATCGCACTACACAAGCTACAGTTACCAAAAGGAGGAAAATACAAGACAAATCTACAAATATTTTTTACAAGCCGCTTGTTTTTCAAAAGTAAAAACATTCGGAAAATTGCATCGTCATAACTTAACCTTCAAAATGATAGAAAACAAGTTATTATTAAAAACCCGGAATATATTTAGCATGCATCTTTAAAAACATCTGCATTGTGATCACTTAGAATTGGACCTGGTATTTGGATGTTTTGTAAATGTAACAGGCTTTTTAAACCATATTTTCACTGGAAAAAGAAAAAGAGTCCGTCGCGTTGTGGCTCAACAAACTAGGGTGATGCGACAGATCGGCTCAAGTCTCAACATCAGGCGAGTTTTGGCGTTACAGTAGGTTTTGGGACCTGGAGGAGGAGGAGGAGGAGGAGGAGTAGTCAGTGTGGGGACAGGTGTGCCCCACCGCTGCTCCTCCACATCTGGAGAGTAAGGCTGTCGGATGGAGGCAGCGTGTTCTCTGTGCTCGGTTCAGCTCGTGGCACAAGGCGAGTGCGGTGATACGCTGCAGAGGAGCTGCAGAGAGGAGTTACAATCACACGTCTGGTTTGGGATCTTTTGTTAGAAATGCAAAAAAATAAAATAAATAAAACCATAAAAGTCAGCTGATAGTTTAACTTCAGCTGCCTGTTCAGGACTGAATTCCTTATGTGTATATTGTAAAAGACATAAAAAGAATAGACCCATTTACACCTGCTATTAACAAGCGGACTGGAAACGTTAATCTGGCCATTGACATCTGATCACAGGTCTGTGCTTTTACACCTGCTATGAACAGGTGTTCTTGTTGGCTCGATGCTGCATTGTGATTGGATATGAACATGTTAATTGAGCTCAGGACTCGTTAACGGCGTGTACATCTTTAAATGGAAGTTCTCTAAAGCTTTCAACCACATCTCAACAATGGCTGCCAGATGTTATTCCTTTTTAGATTTAGTCAACATGTTTTTAGAATCAAGCTTCTATTAAATACATTGTTGTATCTTAACCTTGTTTTATAACCGCTGTCTGTTATGATGTGAGACGACATGTTTTCTGATGTCTTTTGACCTTGTTTACTTCCTGAAAAGATTTCATCGATCGTTTGTTCACACGCTTATGTTTTTGATCTCATTTATCTAAAATATCTTATCATATAAAGGTCCGTCTCCGTCTTCATAAAAGGTTCACACCTTTGTTGTTCTATCTTTGACAATTCAGATATAGTTGTATTACTATAAATACATTATATAGAATATATGTATGGTTGTACTATATACATTATATTTATAGTTGTAGCACTATAGAGAGTTGCTCAGGTGTCATGGGGATAAATGTCCTGGTGAGACCTAAAGTATGTTCATATACGAGGTTTGAGATCATAACCAAAGTCCGTGACGACGGCCTCCTCTTCCAACCGTCACAATGACAACTGAGCAACTCCATCCACCGAGGACTGCCCTGAGATGAGGCTGAGAGCTTCAGAAACAACAACGAGTTGAACCTCGGGCTGAGGAAGACGTTTCAAGCTCTATTAGTCCTTCGCAGGGGGAGGGATCGCCTGCCGGGCAGCTTGTGGGTGGCAGGAAGTGGTGTCGTGAAAAAATTTTTTTTTTCCTTTTTTATGTGTCACAACATCTGTCACAAATTGCATGCGCATATTGTTGACATCCAATCACGATGCAATCCAGACCACCTCCATATCTGGTTTAGCCGATACATAGGAAGTAGATTTAGTAGTTCATGCACGCAGTCACGCCTTCCATCAAAAAATTAGAAGTCCAGATATCATCTAAACGTTTCTTATTCTCAACGAATCCCATGAAGAGACCAGGAACAAAAAATATATTGATCTTCATTACACCATGTTATTAGTGTAACTAAAGCCTGATAGGAAACCATTAGCTACCACAGCTGCACTGGGTGACATATTAATGTAATTCTCACTAGCGTACATTAGTCAGTGGCTTAAAATAGAGCCTTACTCCAGTTTTAGTAGTTTGTGCCCAGCTGTTCGTCTTCAGGCTCATTTTTATTGAATTAAAGCATATATTTGTGAAGTAAAGACTTCCAGAAAGTGAAAGAGAAGCCAGCAAGTATTGAAACACATTATTGGTTTTCTGGTATTTTCATGGGAGCTGTTGACAGTAAGAAGAACTCAGAACACAACGCCAGGCTTACGCTTTAACGTCCTTATCCAGGTAAAGTAAGCTGATTAAGATTGCATGATAATAACAGGCACCAATGGGGTCTTTGTTTAGTCTTCTTGTTAAAACTGTCAAATGAATAGTATAAATGCCAGTGTAGAGTAAAAACAAAACCTGCATATTTAGACAATCATGAACAGAGAGAGTCTGGAGAAGCTCGGGAATGTTCTTCCATTTTTCTTTACAGTCAGATATAAAAGACATTTTGGCCTTCAGACCACAACAAAAAAAAGAAAGCCATGTGTTATTTCAAAGCACATAATGCTACATTCTGTAAGTGTGCAAAAAAAAAGAAGAATAAAGTCACACCCTTTAATATAAAAACAGTCCTTGTCATCTTAAAGAAAGCTCTGACAGGGAGCAGAAAGGCAGTGGTTCACCAGCGTCACAGTCAGAGCTGAGCTCCAGTTAGTCTTTAAGACACAAGAAAGAGGAAGTGACACATGTGATGTAATCCTCCTCCTCTGTGTTCATGTGTTGAGTCAGCACAGTAAAGTAGTCCAGTGGTCACGGCAACAGATGAGGCAAAAAGAGAAAAAAGTCCCCTTTAGAAAAAAAAAAGTGTTTTGTTGTTGTTTTTTTTACAGCGTGTCGTAAAAGACGAAGACGTCACAACGCAGGAGGAGTAAAAGTCAAGGCATCTGTTTAGTTCCAGGTTTGAACAATCGTTGAGCTGATCACAGTTTGATATCAGAGCGTCTGTGATGATCATAAAAACAGGAGGATTCAGACTCTCCTCTCCTTGAATGGTGTCTTTGATTGGATGTGAGTGGACCACATGGCCTCCACATGTCCCGCCACATCAGTGATCCAGCAGGAGCGGGCACGAAGAGAGGACAGCGTGGGGGGAGGGGGGGGGAAGGGGAGACCCTTCACACCGAGGTCTCCGACTGCAGCCTCATGACGAACTTGTGGCTCTTTGGGTCGATGAACTCCTCCCCGAGGCGCAAGAAGGGGAGCGGCGTCACCGTGACCACCAGGGAGAAGTCCAGGCGTCTCAGCGAGAAGACGAGGCCCTGCCGCAGGGCCGAGGTCACCGGCTCCTCGCTCACCAAGGTCCACTGGCGCCCCCTGCCGGTATGCTGCTGGTACTGCATGGTGGGGCCGGGGGAGAGGTATCGCTCCAGGAAGGCCTGACGGGGAGGATGTAGGCGGTCAGTAACCAAGATAACCGTTTTTAGAGTAAAGTATTTTAGAACTGCACCCCCATCATTTCTTTATTAATTTCATGCGATGGTTAAAGGGCTGTTTTGAAGCTTTTCTTCCCCACAGTGATCACAATCTTTTTACCTTTGGCGTCATGTTGTGTGTGATGCAGAACTGCAGGTGTGTGAGGATGCTCTCCATGCTGTGGAAGGCCTGCTGCCGGGTGGTCCTCAGGTATTTCTGCATGGCTCGGGCCATCGGGGCGAAGATGGCTTGAGCCGCCTCCCGAGGATCCATCACCTCCCGAGGGTGTTTGGGGGACGAGGCCACTTCATCCTCGTGGAGACGCTTGATGTGTGTGAAGGCCTCTTCCACCGCCACCACCAACCTGGAGGGTTGAGGATAAAAGCACCGTTATAAACCTCGTCAGATGTGTGGTTAACTCTCAGCAGAGTCTCTATTCAAATAGAAGATTCTCTTGGTTGCTTTAACAGTGGGCTCTGAATGTCTTTACAGTCAAATGTTTTGTGTAATTATGATGGAGATAAGAGCGTACGCTGGCTGTGCTCTGACGAACATGCAAACTACTTACTGGATTCACATTTTAAATATGTTTAGAAACAGAAATAGTTTCCCTTCATAATCGGTTTGAGCTGTAAAGCACCAAAAGTAACCCAGGAGACATCTATACATTTAAAATATGTTTATGTTAAGAACCAAGGCACTGAGAAATAAAGAATAACCTTCTGGAGAAAATACGATGCAAAACCTTTGTGTGTGTGTGTGTGCGAGACACAGCAAATTACAGCAAGTTCTAAATTACAGCAAAAGCATCTAATCGCCCTACAAATAAGGTAATACTGGTGTATTTGTGCTGTAATGTCAACTAAGCTAATATTAGTTGACATTATCAGCTCAGTGGATTTAATAGTCAGACTTTATTGCTACGATTTCTGACTTAGAAAGTAAACGTCGAAAACTTTATTTATATTCAAGACCAAGAGGAGAAATTGAGAGAGTGAATCAAAACGTTTTTGTTTTTGCAAACAGGCAAATTGCTTCTCCGACCAATCACAAAGAATATCCTGCTGTCACTTCACACCAGGAGTTAAGCGAGGAACATCTCTCTGACCTGGCCTTGCGCTTGCGGAGCCTGCGGTCCATCTCGGCCTCCTCGTAGTAGAACTCGTTGTGGGAGTTGTCTCTCCTCCGGGCAGCAGCTGCTATCATGGCCCGCGACTGGCCCGATGAGTTGTTGGTGGTGCTTTCTACAAGACGACACATGCAGAGGAAGAGGATTAGCGGGTTGCATTTCAGGTATTTAGCTGATGCTCATATTCATGTGAGAGAACACTGAACTCTCACAGTCAAGGAGCGCAGTTTCAGGTAAAGGGGAATAGTTGCAAATGACCCCTCAGCTGCTGGTTTAACCTCAGTGTACGTCACTGAACGTGTCAACTGACAAAAGCCGGAGTTCTGGATTTACCGTCCAGGGAGTAGACCTTGAAGCCGGTCATCTTCTTGGACAGGATGGACTTGGGCAGGTTGAGCAGGGCCGGGTTGAAGATGGAGAAGTCGCTGTAATATCGGTCCAGCACCCAGACGGCCGCCCGCTGGATACTGAAACACAGCGTGTCAATCATCAGTGTCGCAGTAAGGACATGTCTATCATCAGCTGCTGACCACGCAAGAACATGAACTGTATACACACATGACATCGACAGTCAACAGCAGTACGACTTCCAAACGAGGTTATTCTTGTCAGGGAGTGAATTCAAACGGGAATATCCTCTGCTCAGACGTTGTAAGAGAAGTCAAACGCCTTAATAGATTTGTAAACCAGGTTTATAGTCATGCTATAAAACAAAACAAATACACACCTGAATCGACAATATTACACTTCAAACTATCATTTGATGTATCACGGCTCCTGTGCGGTAACTCCTGTCTGTTTCATCACACTGGGGGCTAACGACCTCATTTAATCCCACTTCAAAACACACGAACAATCCCTTTAATGGGGCCCCAGCTGCTGGTTGAAGCGGAGTGAAATAAGGAAGACCATAGGATGTAGTTAAAAGCTCATAAAAAGGCAGTAAGTGGACCTCGGGGCAGAGAATATTTTGTCTCTTCAAAACAAAACTTAGGCTATCAGAATGATTTAAAAGATGCTATAATAACATTCAAATTGTCAACACATATAATTGTGTTTTGTTATGAAAGTGTAAGTATGGCCAAAATTTTTTAAATGAACTTCTTCTCATCTTTGTTCCGGATCAAAAGGATCACACACTTGTCATGTTTGTCCTCGTCTCACTGACCTGAGGTGGCCCACGTTGTAGAACTTGCTGGCTCCGTCCGTGCTCCGGACCACCTTGAGGCAAAAGGCCGGCTGCAGGTGTCGGACCTCCAGCAGCACCAGAGCCAGGTACTGAATGAAGAGGAGGGCGTCCACCAGCGAGGCGGCGTACTCCACGATCCCCCTGTAGTCCCGCTCCCGGGGCTCCAGCACCCGCACGCCGTAGAACAACCAGTACGACGCTATGAAGAGGAACACCAGCACCATCAGCAGGCAGCGGAAGACGAAGAAGCGCGGGAGCGTGGCGCGAGGAGGCCGGAGGAACAACGCCCAGGACGAGATGAGCAGGACCAGGAGCTTGAAGGCCAGGGAGACGTAGAGGCCCTCGCAGGGCGTGCCGCAGGGCTCGAGGGCGTCACGCCACAGCACCTGCGGGAGGATGAGGAAGGCTAAAGGCGTGACCAGGGCGAAGAAGCTCAGGCAGCCTCCCAGAGCCGGGCCAACGAAGCGCTTGCACTCCAGCGGAGTCGACTCCTCCAAATCTTTGGTGATGCGGGTCAGGTCCTCGTTAGAGATGCTGTGATCTGAGGTGCCGGTGACGACCGTGGTGGTCTCACCCCAGTTATCATCCTGTCAGAGATACAGGTATCAAGATTCATGAGTGTTTACGGTTCATTTTCACATAAGTCCAGCAGAACAGCAGCAAATGATTAATACAAGAACTCAAAATGTATGAAATGTAAATCAAGCTTTTTGCAGGTTTTACCAAAATACTTTTGTGGTCTTTTTTACTAGATAACTGAATAAAATGATTAACCAGATATGGTTTGTGCTTTTAAAGAATAACAGTCAAGTAATTAATCAAACAACTCGTGAAAATCGATTCTGTATGAAGGCAGAAACCCAAGATGTTTATGTTTATGTGTGTTCAGGGTGTAAAGAGAGCCTGCGCAAATATAGACGTATCATTTCTAAAACAAAATCATTGAAGAAAAAGATTAGACAAGTCCTTAAACTCTGCCATAATTCCAGAAAAGTTAAAATATTCTACGAAGTTATATAAGAAATCAACCCCTCTGTGTCTATGTGGCCATTTGAAGGCCAGCAGGGAAGGGTGACAGGTTGGTTAAGCTTAAACACAAATACCTCTTTACTATTTAAAGAAGGACGCCTCTTCACTTCATATCAGCAACAAACAAATATCCTCAGTCCCTCTAATGAACGCATGCCTTTTAAACTCAATATAATACGTCTTCGGTATTTTAAGACCACCAGACGACACCTGCTGCTTCTTAACTGACTGACAAGACAGACGAGGGTTGACATGCAGTGACTGACAGCTCCTAAGAGACATCAGAGGAATATAAAAGAGACACTTCTTCTATTTAAAATGGATGATAGCTAAATAGTAATAGTAGGACAAATGTATACAAAAGTAAACGAAACATTTACAAAGAAATTAACGTAGTAACAACCATTGTAATCAAAACAAATACCAGAAGTCTTTAATAAGTGGCAGATTATTAAGTGTCTCTTAATAGAGAGTAGCTCACTGACCCGTTCTTCTCCGCGGGTCGACTCGGCATCGAGCAGCGGTTCTCCGGGAGTCTGGATGGTGACGGATTTGTCTCCACGACTGCTGCTGTCTCGGCTCTTTGAGCGGTGACGATCCCTTCGATCCCTGGAGGGCAGACGGGGTCACTGGTTGTGTCACTGAACATACTTTATTTTACTGTACATCACCATATTCACCAGCTTTGAACTTTCTTTGGTGTGACTCCTTGTTGAGAAACTCAGTTTTACAGTTCCTTTAATTAAATCAACTTATCGATTAGTTCAACTAAGGATGTCTTTGATCGGGGACTGCTCTTATTTCTTTAACATTGCAAATCATATCGCAATTGCTACATCAGTCAAATTAACCACAATTAGATATTTTTCTCAAACGTTCAGCACCTTGAAGAAAATCTGTGATTTGTGACATTGGACCACTTGAATACAATGGACTTGTATTTTACCAACCTGTGCTTGCGGGAGCTTCTGGAGTGGGACGACTTGTATGAGTAGCCCGAGTACTGCGACTCGTTGTCCATGTCTCGGGTCGGCGGCGAGCAGGCTTTACGAAGCCCGCCTCCTCCTCCTCCTCCTCCTCCTCCTCCACCCGTGCGCCGCTGCTCGCCGACTCCTCCCAGCTGGCTCTTGCGCTCGGAGATGGACTTGGTGGTGAGAGCCAGGGGCAGCTTGAGCAGGTCAACCTTGCTCCTGAGGGAATCTATCTTGGAGGCCGACGAGGAGGGCGCAGGAGAAGGGAGGCGGGAGAGCGGGGGAGGCTACGGAGAGCAGGAGAAGAGGGGTAGGAGAGTCGCAGCAGGGGAGAGCTGAGGAGACTGTGATCTGAAAGAGGAGGCAGAGAGAGAGGGATGCTTAACACTTCACCTCAGTATCTGCTGAGGATCACAAACAGCTGTCCACATTTTAACAGGTCTGGATGAAGATCCATGAAACTCTTAACATAACCAGTCAAAAGTCAAACATGACATCATTTTTAAAGCCCTTCTTGGTGAACTTCCTGCCTTAGTGTTTCTAGCAGTTATCACACCAGACCATCTAGAGACGGATACACTTAAAGCTCCCCGGGGTCTGTTCTGAGCTTCCTTCTATATAATTCATTAAAGGCTTTGATCTAAACATCGTTTGGAAACACTTCCTTCATATCTGGCTTTCAAACGCGACGTTTAAAAGAAGTTTAATAAGTAGTGTTATTGTTTAAAAACTTAAGACTATGAAACTTCTAAGATATGGTTCAATGCTCCAGTAAAGGCAGAGAAGAAGATGTATGTTAACAAGGCTGAATTTAAATAAAAAAAATGTTTTATTGCAAATGTTTCATAAGGAAGGAAAATGCTTTTAACATTTGGTGATAAAAACTTTAATACAAACATACATTTTGTCTGTTTACAAAAGAAATTCCTAAAGGCCCCTTTAAACGATGATTTATGAGCTGATGATGTCAGAACTACACTTAACTTAAAGCGATTGTAAACACAGTTTTAGGGCCTACGTTAATCTGTTAGTATTCTGGGCTGATGCCAGCCTGTTATTAGATGTTGTCCAGCCATGTCGGTCACTGGAGGGTCCTCCTCAATGATCTTCACAGTTTATTTCTCCATTTGATTGTTCAGTGGCGTTTTAATGTGCAACACAGTTGTCTTCAGTCTGGGTTTGAATTTGTGTTGAAACTAATGTTTGGTTTTGTTATTGATTGATTTGTTTTATTTGTTATTCGTTTTTTTGTCTGTAAAATGTTCAGTATATATGCAAAAAGACCATCATCACCAAGTATCATCATCTGTCCAAAACTCAAATATATTCAATTTACAATTATATAACAGAGAGAAGCAGCAGATCCTCACATTGGAAGAGCAGGAGAACGCAAAAGTTCAGGGATGAAAAATTGTCTAATTTGGAAACAAAGACCATCAGGACCAGGTTTCAGAATCTATTCAGTCGGTTTGATTGTAAATGAAGAGTCCATGTCTGTGGTCGTTGACTCCTGTGTGACTCGAACCTCTCACCCTGGCCCACTGAGCACTGTGAGTGACACCAACACACATTAACCCTAAACTGAGGCTTCGGTTTCAGCTTCGTCTTCCGGGTCTCGCCGAGGTTAATCATCACGCGGCTGTGTCAAGACGGCAGCTTCAGCCGCCGTCAGCTCGCGGACACAATGGCGGCCATATTGCATTACTGTGTTTTCACAAAACTTGTTTGCCCTCTCTCTCCCTGTCCCTCCCTCTCTCTCTCTGTCTCTCTCTCTCTCCGTCTCACATTCCCTCCCACACTCCCCTCGTCCCCCTGGGAGACAGGGCCTCTCCACTGCCATGGCGATGAAAGAGGGTGTTCAGCTGGGGGGGGGATCGGAGGTTGACAGTTGCTGTGGAAACCTGACCTTACGCCGCCCCTCCGACCACTCCGTTCTCCAGAAAGAAATCGGCAAAATAAAAGTGTTGGCATGACGGATGTTGGACTGTCATATGCTGGTTAAGTGATAAAGGGCGGGTGACGCTCGCTGGCTTTCATTGGGCCTCTGGTGGAAATGGAGCGGGACGTTAGCTGCCATCACGGTCTGAAGGGGTCCTGATTTGACTTAATGTGGGGTTTCTGCTCCATCAGCGCCTTTGTGATTAAAATCCACTTTCCCCTTCAAGCCACAATACTGTGCGAAGATGTCCGTGGGATGTCTGAGAGTTTCTCTCGTGCACTCCTTTTGTTTTACAGCATTCATATTCTGTCATAAGAGGATGCGCCCCCTTATCCAGCACCAATAAACCCACTAAGTCTTACCAGACGAGAGATCTTGAATCCCTGCCGCCATGTGCAAAAACCTCCACATGCCGATCCCAGACCACGAAACTCAAATGAGTAAGCAGCCTCCTCCTGCTGTATCATCATAGGCTTTTATCTGCAGTAATGGCAGAGCAATGAGCATCTTATGTACACAGTCGCGCTCTGCTTTTCATGCCACATGATGTGCAGTAAAACGGTTTCATGCTGACCACATGATTTATCTCTGCAACAGAGAGGAACCTGCCCTGTAAATGTCACGCAACTGCATAGTACAGTGGTACAGTTGCATGAATAAACACATTAAACGACCGAGATTCAAGATCTGTCCTGCAGATAGTCGCTGCAGGTTCACATGGGGAAGCAGATTTAAGTGGAGTAAAGTAGGAAATATGGTGAGGGAGAGTAGTTACAGACTCGCAGGCAAACCACATGTTTTTAGACCGGCAATAAACTGAATCTAAACAGTGTTTTTATCTAATGGCTGGGGAAGTTTAGCTGGAGCGCGCCCTCCCAGACAGAGAAACCTCGGCCAAAATAACAATCTGAATTCATCAGCTGGCCTCATAATGTTTACCCGCCGCCCAACAACAATTAAGCCATTACAGTAATACTGTCCATATTTTAAAGCAATTACACTTTAAGATGAGTCACTCTAAGATAAAGATCCCAGCAGCTGATTTACTGCGTTGCATCTCCGACTATCACACGAGAAGTAAGGCAAGTATAGTGTTTTTGTCTCATTAAGTATAACAACCTTTACTAAACCGTATGTATCCAAAAGGGAGCAATTAAAAAAGGGACATGAATAAAAGTCGAAACGTCAAATATCGTGGTGATAAATAAAGGTTGTTGTGAGGACGGCACTTATAGATAACGTAAGTCAAATCAAAAGGATTTCATCACCTTCTAATACGAGGTATGCTGTGTGTAAAGTTTACATTTTGGTGCGAGGTGGGTGGAGGCGTCAGAGTGTCAAAAATGTAGAGAGATAATCCTCTGAGAGAATGAAAGTGCTCAGTGAAGTTTAGGGCAATCTGCCCGTTAGATGTCTGCGTACAACTGGAAAGTTTAGCCCAACGGGGCAGTCACCAAAGCCAAAAGGATTCATCCTATGGGGACCATGAATACCGTACATTTCAAGCACATTTGCGAATGTTTTTTTTAATGCAGAAAAATGGTCAAAAGCTTAGGTCAAGGAAGGTTTTTACCCTGATGGTGAAGTCAGGGAGTCACCCGGAAATGTAAAATTAATCCTCAGAGGACCCTGAATATTTATAACACATGTACTTGCATCACTTGCATCTTTGTCTTCTTAACTTGTAAAGCTGACGTTGATGAAGAAATGTGGATCTCTGCAGGTTGAACAATGGGTTTCTCTCTGTATGACGGCTGCATTTCACGAGGAAGTTCCTCCTGTTTTCATTTTGCAGGACTGACCTTTCAGTCGTCATGTCAACATGACGTCATAACACTTAAGATTGACCTGCTTTCCTCATAATGGGACACATGTGGTATGAAAGGCGTATGAGAGGAGGTTCGGTTGGTGTTTTAAAGCGGATTCTACATGAAACCTCACGTCTTTCAAAAGACACAAACGCTTGAATGGAGAAAAGAAACTGGTTTGTAATTTTAGCCTTGCATAACAGGGATGATATGACCTACAATATACATCACAAACTCCCACTGTTTCGATACATCGGGTTATGATATTTCCCTTTCTAGTGTTGGCCTGCTTATGATGCGTTTGAGTCCTTAATGGCCGGTTTGGTTGGTTACATATCATTGGTTGTTATTTCATACAATTTAAACTATTTTTTCCACCAATTTGAAACATGCGTCGTGTAGATGAGCTGATAAATGAGCTGATAACATGATATAAAATGGTGCATGGTCATGCATACTCGCCGATACCCGATCTATCATTTTAGGACGCATTTTGGAAACTGGTATCAAAACAACTCCGATGATGTCACGGTGATGTCATTAGTGTTATCTCAACTCTGACAACTCCTAACAGAAAGAGTTTGTTACAAACTGGAGGCATGGTGTTTGAAACACAGGTGTCTACGAGGCAGGTAGGGTTTCACATTAAAGATGCTATCAGGATGCATTATGGGAAACGGAATCGGTCTCTCAAAAGTCCCCCAACTCTCTGGAAGTGAAATACAATCACTGGAGGGCCCTTTTTTAAGGGAGAGTTCAACATTATGGATAATACATGTATTTGCTTTCTTGCTGCGCGTTAGATGAGAAGAACGAAACCACTCATGTCTGCGAATAAGCATATATCTTAAATTGCTGACATTTTGCGAGCACTGGCTAACGTTTTACTCTCCGCTAGCTAGGGATGGGTAACGAAACCCTGCATTGAACGTGCACCGGTGCTAAATTCTTATTGATGAGCTCCGACGTTGTTGGTTGTTTTATCTTTACATGTTTTGCTGTTAAACCTGTTGCAGCTTCTTACGTATTCATCCAACTCTCTGCAAGAAAGCGAACACGCATATTTCCCAAAATGTCCTGTAATAATTACACAAGATAAATCCACTGAATGCCTTTACCTTGTACATTATGGTACCTTGCATTTCTGTTCTTCAGCAGTGTCCCTTACCCTGATCCTTGAGCAGCACTGGGTTGAACCCGATGTACCGTGCAACAACTGTGCCCGTCTGCCAACCAGTCAGACGGTTCGTGAGAATATGACACAGCGCTTGATCTTCAGGGGTGTGGTCCAGCGCTGAGATGGATAAGGTTTCCTATTCATCCCAGTTTCCTATGGCCTACTTAATGAGCTTCACCAGGGTCCTCATGGTCCACCTCAGTCAGCATGGCAACATTAAAGTTAAATTAAAGTATTGGAATAAGTATCTGAACACAAGCAACAACCCGTCGTCGTTCGTGTCTTTTGATCGACTTCTTCTACGAACACAGTATCGGTTCCTGTTCCTCGTGAATCAAACAGTGGTGGGATTCTTCAGGGTATTTTAACTCGTTCATTTCTCACCACCCAGCCTCAAAGTCAAAGTCTGGCTTCTAAAAAAAGAAAATGACCTTTGTTCACTTCACGCTCTGGGCAGCTTTTTAACAGAGTTTGCACACAACAGGCCGGTTCAGTAATCTGCGTAGGTGTGTGTGGTCTGAGAGTAAACAGCGACGATGTCGGGCGTCACGCCTACGAGTGCCACGGTTTTTGGCTCGGGCCAAAAGGATTGTAAAACTGTTTAATATCTATCATTAACTGATAGCAAAGACAACTGTTTTCACGGGACATCTCTCCCAATGAGGCCGTATAGCCAGGATTCTAGAAACACTGAAAGATGCTGAGTCACCACCAAAACCCCACTGACCCAAGACATTTTTTGACAAGTCACTAACTAAACTTCAAATAGAATGTACTCCAATCAAAGTATTTTTTAAATCTAATTCAAAATGTATATATCTTTTCTACACTTTGGTCTGGTAACCATCCCCAATCATGACCTCATGCTTTTAAATATTGTTTACAAATATTAGAGCTATATTTCTGTCATAAGTTTTGTTGTAGTTTAAAAAATGTTTTGCTTTCCACTTATTTTTGCTTTAAAAATGATTTCTAAGCCTTTATTTGGTGTTTAAATGCCTGTATTTCTTATCAAATACCTCCTGTTTATGTGAAGTTTTTAAGTAAGAAATATGTGACGTACATATAAACTCAACTTGCCTTGAAAAAGTGAAGATGTTGATATTAAAAAGTGAGTTCATGCTGCTCAATAAATCGCTCCGACTGACTTTTATTGGCGACGAAAATGATTCAGGAATTTTGCCGTGAACATGCAGCCCGCGTCACGTTACATTTGAAACAAGCAGATGTCGGATTTTACAGCCTCTTTTTCCCCCCAAAGGCAAATCAAGCTTTCATCAAACATTCTGAGCTCTGGGCAGCAGCTGTCAGAGTGGGAAGGCAAGCTGGGCCGTCTCTGAGATGACCAGCTCCGCTCAGCAGCCATTTGAGGCCCGATGTGCCAACTGTGAAAATAAGGGTGCACACACCCAGGGTCCTGCAGGGGAAGAGGCTCATCCCTGTACCGGGGCCACACACACACACACACACACACACACACACACACACACACACACACAGGGCTGACCACCACCCACTGCTGCCTAAAACGACATCAGTAAAACCAGCAAAAACAAGACAACTGCTACTGTCAGCCTTTGTGCACACATGGCTAGCAAACCGGAGCAGGTGTGTGTGTGTGTGTGTGTGTGTGTGTGTGCAAATCTAACAGGATATGGTTGAATCAACAGGCCTGTCCTCTGGTCAGCGCTGTGTGTCAGAGAGCCCCCTGCACACAATCTGTCTTAATATCCAAACAAAGTATTGAGGGGACAGGAAGTGGCTCGATGGGCCGAGATGAGATGGATGTGGTTCAGATGAAGGACTCCAGTCCATTAGACGGCGTGGGGGCGAATAGATTTCATAATAAATCCAGTTAGACAAACATGTTTAAGGGTCAGTTCAGCCAAACCATAAACAATATTAGCCCTATAGCTGTGTTTAATATAGTTTCAGCGTTATCTCCTCGGGTTTAGGGCGGCCCCCTCTTATGAGCACATCTCTGGTGAACACAGGGTGTAAAGTGGTGCTTTGACATGATTCTTGTGGATTAAATTAGTCGACAGTCTGAGTGTTACTCGACTGAGAATGGATTTATTCTATGACGGCCCTGCACAGGTTTTGAGATATTTTCTGCGGACGCTGAGTGCGATCCAATTAGTGGTTCACTCAGCGTTTAAAAATGACATTTAAAAACCTCAACAACAACATCATCAGCATGCCTTTCAATGGTGCATTCACTAGATGATCTACAGATGGAAGAGTTCTATACTTAATAGAAAACACTCACTATTTCTTGAAATTTTAATTGACCTAATGATTAAAATAAGATGAGTTAGTTAAGGCCCTACTGGACATTATTACACGTATACAAACCTAACATTCATAGTGATTCTCCTACAGGCTGTTTCGATCCATGTGTGTCAACAGACCCCTGTAGTGAACCAGCTGCACTGTGATATTACTGTACTTGATGGTATTATTATGGCCTGTTTTATCGCTGCAACAGTCCCTCTGGACGCAGTTTATAGTGTACTGTGCTCCTCTGTCTCCCTCTAATGTGTATTTATAGCAGCATACGGTGTGTTTCTCTTGTTCTCTAGCACACACAGCTGAGGACACCAGGCCTGTTGCTACTGCTGCAACGTTACACTGTTTCAGTCTGATCGGCGCAACAACGACGCGAGAGCCAATTTGGACACATTCGTATCCTCCCACTGTTGTCGGATGAGGGAACGTGGATCAATAATTCAACAATGTCTCCACATGCACAAAAGGCTACAAAGAGGCGGACTTACTGTGAGGGATCCGGGAGCATTTAGGGCCAAAATAAAGAGTTGTGCGACCCACAAAATGAAAGGAAAGGAGGGTGTTGTACGGGCAGGACAATGGGAGACTCCCAGGCCCCACTGGTCCGCGTCCTGATGCCAAATTATCCCCCCCAAAAAATGCTCGTGCCCTCTCTTCCGCATTCGCTTCTCCAACACTGTAAATGAATGAACGCACTCGAAATTCCCTGCGGTCCTTCAGCGAGGAGAAAAATCCCAAACCGTCGGCCTACAATCAAACTGGACGCGGTTCCTTTCCTCCATGCGCATCTCTCTCTCTCTCTCTCTCTCTCTCCCTCTCTCTCTCCCTCCCTCTCTCTCTGAACGTTTCATTCTCTAACATTTATAAACACGAGTCTCTCTCCACCACGTTTAAAACCGTTACACAGAGCTACGTGGCCTCGGTGAGGACAACAATAGGGCCGATGAGGGTCCTAAAGTTCCCTGCGGTTTCCAAAAAAAAAAAAAAAAGGCGACCATCGCGTCCTGTCGACTATTGTTTGGGGAAACCGGAGACCTCCTGCGCCCCAAGACCCCTCCTCTCTCTCCCTCTGCGCTACAGCAGCGCACACAATCACCCGCCAGCAGCACTTCAAGACATTATCCACACAAAAATACTACTTACTTATTCCAGATTGTCCATTCAGGTATTTTCTCACTTTCCACTTTCTTTCCACTCAGCCGTAGCACCGTGCGCCCCGCCTCCGCTCCACTTTGGCCCCTCCTCTGTTCCTCTGTTCCTCCCCTCCCTGAGAAACTGTGTGTGTTCAGCCACAAAACATCCATTACACACACACACACACACACACACACACACACACACACACACACACACACACACACACACACACAGTGAAAAGAAGTGGACACTATAATGTCACAAAGTAAAGTGGTTCCCTCGGCTCATAAAACAGTTTATGGAGCTGCTGATGGGAGAAGAAGAAAAATCCTCCAGAAACCACCACCATCATCATCATCAGATGTTTTTATATACAGTCTGACCTTTGTGGAGCTGTGAACACACATTTATGTGTTCAGACCAGCAGCTTTTTAAGACATTTAGATACACAAACTCTATCCCGACCCAACGAAATATTAGAACGAGCCATTTTTCCTGTAATACGCTGGGTGAGTCATTTCCTGCCCTCACGTGTCATCCTCAGAATTACATTAGAGAAATACCAAAAAGAAAAGTCATGGTGTTTAATGCCTATACTGTATAACTCACGTTTCTTTGATGGGATTTTATGGTTTGTTGTCTAGTAGTTTAAGAGGCAAAACTATTTTACACGATTTCTTTTTTAACTATTTTAACTTATTACAATACAGTTTGCATGAGGGAAGAGGAGATCAAAGTATTTTTTCCAGCAGGTTAAATCTTACTAACTTGTTCATATAATGACTTTCAGAGTAGCTGCAGGTTTCATTAAGATACTTGGAAGACTTTTAGTTAGTTGTTTTTTACTCTATCATGATTTATTAGCATGTAATGACCAATTTTACAACTGAATAACCACAATAAAGAGCATGTATTTTCATAATAAATACAATTTTTTGAGAAGCAAAACAGCATGTCTGTGATTTCTGGCTTTATAAATAAAATGTACTTTATTTTATTACTGAATTGTAGAATCCGTCTGATTAATCACAGCACGAACAAACCAATGAGACCTCAACACATTTAAACCTCTAGATTCAAAATAAAGAATAGTATTAAATATGTTTTTAGAGTTTTAATTAAGATCCGAGCAGTCACAAGATGAAGTAAATGTCTGATTAGCTGTTCACAACTCATTGACTTCCTGAAGGGGAACCACTGGTGTCACGGATTGTTTAAACATGTAAGCACAGAAATAAAAAGCTAATCTGTGGTCACAGTATTTGTTTGATATGTTTTCTGAGTGCCGCTATCTCATCTGTAACAGGAAGCTCTTAAAACATCAATTACATTTCATCAGTGAGTCGACAATGAGAGAAAGAACTTGAGAAGAAGCAATGTGTTTATTTCTTCATCAAGGCATCACAACTGGTCATCGATTCCATCCATTACAATTACAACAGAATTTCAAAACCTTTTTTGAGCGTTGACACACTTAAACTGTACTTTTTAAACTAAAGTTACCATGAACAGAAATCTTGTGAAGAAGGTTTTGAACCAAAAAGAGTGCACAGCCAGAGCACCAGCGCATCTTTAGTGTCGAAACACAAGATGTTTGGACCGGATTTGACGTGGTTCTTTTTGGCAGCTGATCGATATGAAATAAAGTGTTTGTCAGCCACGCCGGGGCTGCGGGGAAATTCTTCTTCTCCACACAAATATCACAACATGTGAAATTGCAGTGGGTCTGCAACTACATACAGGTGTAGGTGTATGTGTACTGGGAGTGAACAATATAAATATTCAGGATTGTTGTCAACATCCCAGAACCTAAAACTTATCAAAATACTTCACTGCACATGTCCAGATTTTGCAAAACCCTAAATTTAACTACTTGTTCACGGACTCAAAAAAGTGGTTTCTTCATCTCAGAACTGATTGATAAGTTAACTACATTGACAGAGAAGACAGAGGCAGTATTGCACATACCGTCGCATTCCTCATACAAAGTTCAGACACAAACACGCGCTCATAATAGTCCGTACACACAGTCAGTTGACACACACTCAGTCACATTTACATATTCACAATCAGAAACACTCCAAAATAATGCTCGATGTTTAGTGCCTATCCCGAGACACCATGAACAAAACATTCTGTGACAATAAGAGAAAAAAAAACTAAAGAAATATAAACATCTTTTCCACTGACAGGGCCTGAGCAGTGTCTTCTGACCCTGATGAGTCCAGATCCATCCAGGCCAATCCAGTCCGGTCCAGTCCAGTCCTCGTGTCACGCCTCACCTCAGTGAGTCCATAAACATGGAGTCGTCGTCTTTTTAAAAAAAGAAAAGAAAGAAAAAAACCTCTGCCGCTGCCGTTTCTAACCTGTGTACCTACTCGTGGTTTGTCTGTCCATGTCTGGTTGGGATAGAAGTAGTAGTTGTAGTAGTAGTGGTCGTGGGCCGGCGTCGCCTCAGTCTGGATCAGTAAGTGGCGTTGGCGGGCTCCCTCCCCGAGCTGAAGAGTATGTCGGCCTTCGAGCTCATGAAGTACGTCAGCAGCAGAGATGTTAGCAGCACGCCGACGCCCACGCCCAGCGTCACCATCTGGAGGAGTCAAGAAGTCTGATAATTAACACCTCTCAGATTATGCATTCTCATTTCATACATTGTTAAGATAAAAATATTAGATCAGAGCAGTTTTAAAGTCACTATGTGTAGAATTTTAACATATTGGACTTTGGCACCCCCAGTGGCAGACAGCGATGCACTGTTCCAACGGCTGGTGAAGGAGGCATCAAACAGTCCAGACTTCCTACAGCACGTGAATAACCAATACTCCTTTAGAAGAACCCATCGGCCATCCACAGAGCACAGTGTGTTTTAAACCTGCATCACATGTGTTGTCTTTGACTCTGAGGGGTGAAGCGAAGGTTTACCTCCAGTTCGTGACTCGCCACCAGGAATATGCGTCCTTTGATGGACTTCCACCGAGACTCTGTCCACGTTGAATAGTCTTTGGAGGTGTACTCCCGAAGGTCGAAGGCTGGGGACAGCGCTTTGGAGAGGCGGGCCGTGGAGCGCATGCAGAAACCCTCCCGCTCTGTGCTGTTGGGAGGCGCCGCGCCTTGAGCCCACAAGTAGTAGTACATCTGAGGGAGGAGGCAGGGAATAAATATTAAATAATAATATATTAAAGGAGGAGTCAAAGATGTTACAGTTCCAATAGAATTCCGAATGCACCTTTATTCTATATTCATCAATCTTTGTATTTTTCCAACAGAAGAAAGAACTTTGAGATACACATCTTGACCTTTTGTAATACGTTTATGAATGTATTTATTCTTGTGGTATAATTTGTCTCAGACTAAAGTAAATTCGTAAAAGGAAGACTGCTGTAGGCCTCACATGTTTGTTCTCTTTGTCCTCCTCACTCTCTCTCTGGTTCTGGCAGTTTTCCTGTGTGACGTTGACGGTGCTTCCCGTCAGGTTAGCCAGCAGGTACTGGACCAGAAAGGTCGACTTGCTGGACTGCAGGTCCACGCCGATGTAGAAGTTTGTGGGCCTGTCAGCTGAGAGACAGGACAAAGGAAATGAAGTTGTGTGTCTGGAAATACTGTAGCTCGCTGAAATGTCCCCTCTGGACATGCATGCAGGGCCGAGGACTCAACAGAGCAAATGTACCGTCTCCTCTGCCTCGTCAATAATGAGAAAAGGGTTTCCGACTGCCCTCTACGCTCCAATACAAGCAAGCAAGAGTAAATATGTCAAGTACAGCAGTAACGTTCATCATGACCCCAGCGGCTTCAAAACAAGACATTTGTATGAGTCAACTAAAAAAAGGATTAGCTTGTATCTCAACTCACTCAGGTGGCTCATGAGGTCAGAGGGGATCAGCTGCTGGAACCAGGAGTTATTGGAACGGACGAGGAAACCGTACAGCATCCGGGTCACCTGAGGGACAGGAAACAGTTAAACAGAGTCAGTCACCGATACAAATGTGTCATTAGGAAGAAATCTATCCAGAAAAACTACATAAAAGCATGTTTCAAGGGACCAATTAGACAGAACAAACTAACATAATATTATATAATGTAATATGTAAAGGAAGTAAATAAAAAAAACTGTGTCATGTGAGTGCAACATGCAGGAAGGTGACGGTTAAACAGTAAAAACAAAGTTGTACCTCCTAAATACAAAAGCCTTCTAGGAATGGAAGATAAATACCAATATCATTGTAAGGAAATGAAAGCAACTTTTGATATTGTATGTCGGAAGATAATCTGCATTACTGGCTTAAATTCTCACCACAAGTGGATGAAGAAACAGTCATATTTTTAAAACCTCTACAACTTTAATTCAGATGTAAAACACAACTTTTATTGTCTACTAGACGTTGACTTTAGATAAAATAAAAAAGCACAAATTCATATTATTCAGGTGGAGAAATGCTGTGGTGTTGACAGGCAACACATATATAGAAATAGTGAACTTGTGGATGAGATGGTTGAAAACAAATTCCACTAATTGCTAAATAAATCTTACTATTTGACGGTCTGCGTTGATGTTGTTGCGCTGGCTTTCTGCTCCTCCTGCCTGTGCGTACAGAGTCCGGGCAACCATGGTGGCCACCTCAGTCAGAGCCTGAAGATGCACGAAGAGAAATGCAGAAGATCTTCATTTAGCTGCTTCCCAACAAACAGCCGAGTGAACTTCTCTATAATAAATTAAACAGCAACAGCCTGACAGCTTAAATACTACCAGACAAGTTTGGACTTGACTGAACTGCCTGAGAAGTCAGCAAACAATGAGAACGGGTTTATGATTACACAACTGATGAAAGCAACTAGTTACGGATAACACATGTAGAGTAGAATGACTCTGTAACATTCTGCAACATGGAACATCAGTGATTAATTAGCTTTACCATGGCAGTGTCAGTGACGAACTCAAGCTGCTCCTCTAGCGTCAGGTTGGATGGGTAAGATATGTTCAGGTGCTCGGCGTTATCGTACATACTCTCGTAGAACCTGGAACCAGAAGAGGAAAATAAATTAACAAAACAAGACGATTCCTCGAGGCAACGCGGATCCCATGATGACAATTTAATGCGATAAGTGTGTAATGATGGCGAGTCACCTGTTGGTGAAAGCAGACTGATGATCTTCGATAACGACTCCAGGGATTGGTCGAGCTCGCAGGAAGCGCTGGAAGGAGGAGGGCGGGAGCGGCTGAGAGACATTCGGCTCCTCCGCTGAGACGTTTAGGTCTGTGGCGGCCGACTGCAGGCGTTGGATGAGCTTCTTCACCTGGATAAACGTTACACACACAGTAATACACACACGCTGTGAGCTCAGTGGTTTGATCTCTGCTCCGTCTTACATCCAAGTTTACTCTGAAACGGTCGTCTAATATTTAAAAGTTTTTTTGCTGATTTTTTATTATTTTTATATTTTGCATTCATAGAATTGTATGTAGCAGTAGAGCTTAAGGAACATTTCCACTTGTTTCCACATCTGTTCCTGTTTTAGTCTTAACATTAGTTTAGGACTAACACAAAGTTTTAGGATCTTTTCAGAAGTACAATTTTTATTTCATAATCTATTTCAACGTAAAAAATCCTCTCATTAGGTTCAGCTACGGTATTACTTAATATACGAGACAACAATACACTTTTATAGACACTATTGTTTACTATATGTATACGGTACCTCTAGTTCATTTTCCTGCTTTTTATTGTGTACAATATATGCTTACAATGTGTATAGTAGCCTCTTATTGTACTCTATAGTATAGTACTTTTAGTTAACCTCTCTAATCTATACATCTGCGTTGTACATCATCTTTGCTGATGTCACACTTCAGTTTATCTTATGAATTTTTCCAATCTAAGGCACTACACCGCTTTAAAAAGCTATATTTAGAGACATTACGCGATCAGTTTAAATAATATTTTTTACATGTGCTGTGTTGTTGGAGCAGTGATGTTTGAGAAGGATACAAACCTCTTCATCGACACTGCTGTTCTTCCTGGACACCGGGTCGGAGTGAAGCCACAGTTTGGACTCAGCACGCAGTCCAACCTGCGGGGAACAAATTCAACACACTGAAATATAAAAACACACACACACACACACACACACACACACACACACACACACACACA